ATTGGCTAATTATTTTTGGATTAAAAAAAACTTCTTTCTCACTGTGTATTAATTAAAATAATGACTAAAGTAATTTGTTCGAAACCATTTTTTTGGGTTTAATGTTTGAATGTAGAATTTATTTTTTTTATTTTATAAAATTTTTCTCTGGGAAAAAGGAATAGGTCTTAAAGGGATTTATAACGACTTTTATGGCAGAGTATAAAAATGTAGGAAAACTCGTAAAATGAGAAAAGTACGTAAGAAATACAGCACGTATAATATTACTCATGTCGAACGAAATCAATAAATAATAAAATCTAAAATAACAATCGATTGAGTGATGGTATTGCGTGTATAAAAGTGTGGCGTAAATATGAGGAAAAAATATAAAGGATTATTACTTTGTGTGTTGATGTATGTTAAGAGCATTGATCTCCTATTATCAGAGAGCAGAAATTTCACTAATTGCACAAATAGAATAAATTAAAATCTTTGAAAATTTTAATTGTTGTAAAACTAATATATTTAAATTTTTATTTTGAAAGAAAATAATTAATCTTTTGATAATTTTATTTAAAAATTTCAGCAAAAAAATAATTGAATTTTGGAAGAATATTGCAGTTGTAATTTTTGAAAATAGTTCAATTTCAAAAATGCGTCACATTGAAATCATTAATGAAGTATTTTAATTCTTGTAGACAAAATAAATAGGTATTTAAATATATTGATATCTTTAAACATAAATTTAAATATTTATTTTAAAATATTATTTTTGTCTATTTATCAGGTACATTTTTACTTGAATCAAGTAAATTGTATTCGAACCAATACTTTTAGTATCTGAAGCAAATACCATTTAATTGAATTGAATTATCAGATTATTATAATAGTTAATAATAATTTTGTTTTTGATTAAAGAGATTTGAAAATTTATTTTGAATCGGTTATAGAAAGGGAAAATTTCAAATAGTTTCATTGAAGAATAGAATTTTATCTTCTTCCAATTATATAATAAGCCAGTCTATTGGAATATCTGAATTTAATCTTGTGCCTTAACTATCATTATAGAGACTCTCGTTGAATCCCATCAGTAATTAGCAGATGCGGTGAGATTAATCTAGATTTGAGACGCCTGTTTGAATTCAAAAGGAAATGAATAATATTGTGTTCACTTTGAGTTGGTTTATAAAGTGAGAGAGAGGGAGAGAGAGAATCGTCTGTTAATATTAAGTTCAAAGAAAATTTATACTATCTCTATATATATGATATGTGCATTTAAGTGAAATGCACGAAGAATTTTAGTCACTGACTTCAATTACGCCTCAAGACTAACTTCATTTTATTTTACGACGATCCGCGTAATCATTCACTTTCAAAAGACTGTATATTATATTATGTACAGTGCCAATTCCTCGTTACTTTCAATGAATAAGAACGAAATGTTTGCCCCCCATTGTCCTATCACAATGAATAGAATTATGCATCCGGTCCAATTCCATTTTCATTTCGTAAGTCTTCGAGAGTCTTAAAGAAGGCCAACTGCTAATTCTCTTTTATCTACTTAAATTTCAACAAATTGTTACACTTTTACCCCTCATCTTTGTAAACAGCTAACTATGCGGTGAATTCAGGTTATTTGCGACAAAAAATTTTATTTTCTTTTTCCCTGAATTCCAGGCAGAATTTTGACTTTTTTTCTGAACCTAAAAAATATTTTAGTTCTCTCGAAAAATAATCAGGGTTGCCACAGGTCAGGAAAATCAGGGAATTCAGGGAAAAGTCAGGGAAAGTAGAATTGGTCAGGGAAGTCAGAAAAAGTCAGGGATTTTTATTAAAAGTACTGGAAAAAATTAAATTTTTAGAATTCGTAAGAAAATTCTGAATTTTTGGTGCCTTTTTTTTGCCTCATAAACTATGAAACTACAACTTATTCTAATACAAAACCTTCAAAAATTTTTTCTATTTCTGACAATAAATTTTTTTAATATTATTTAATTATTACAAAAGTTTTAACGCAATTATCTTAAGAAATAACAAAATTCTTCGACAAAATTCAATTATTTTTAGGAATTTTAATAAATTTTTTTTTCAAAATTCAATTATTTCGATAAATATAAAAATTCATTGAAGAAATTCAATTATTTAAAAAAAATTTCACGAATATCTCGTCAAGAATTCAATTATCTTTACAAATAGCAACATTTTTCTCAAAAAATTCAATTATTTTCGCAAAAATTTAAATAAAATTCTTTGCAAAATTTCAATTATTTTCAAAAAGTTTTTCGCAATTAAATAATTTTCAATATATTTACTATTTTCATAAAATTTATAAAAAGATTTAATTGTTGAAAAAAATTTTGATACAATTCTACAAAAACATTCAATTATTTTCATAAATAAAAAATGTTCATTTAGGAATTCAATTATTTTCATCGCATAATCTCAAATATTCCTAATACAATTTTAAATAAATTCCTTAAAAAACATTCAATGATTCAATAAAATAATAAAATTCGTTGCTATAATTCAAATATTTTCATAAATAACATTTAATTCGTCGCAGAAAATGAATTATTTTCAAACATTTTTAAGTAATTATGCAAAAGAATTCAATTAGTTTGATAAACAAAAAAATTCTTCCCATAAAATCTATTCTCAGGAATTTTAATAAAATTTTTTTTTCGAGATTCAATTATTTTGATAAATATCAACATTCATAGCAAGAATTCAATTTATTATTTTCAAAAGTAATAAAATAATTCTTCAAAAAAATTAAATTATTTTCTAAATTTTTAAAAAATTCTTGTCAAGAATTCAATTATCTTTACAAAAAGCAAAAATTTTCGCCAAAAATTCAATTATTTTCAAAAATTTAATTAAAATTCTTTGCAAAATTTAAATTATTTAAAGAAAATTTAATAAAATTCTTCGCATGAATTCAATTGTTTTCAAAAAATATTATTTAAATTCTCCTCAGGAATTCAATTATTTTTAAAAGTTTTAAAAAAATTCTTTAAAAAGTTTTCAATTATTTTCCAAAAGTGTTAAAAAATTCTTTAATTAATAAATTTCAGTAAAATTTTAATTAAATTCCTTAAAAGAAATGAAATATTTTCAAAAGTTGTTCATAAAATTCTTCATAAAAATTAAATTTTAAGAAACATTCAATTATTAAATAAATTATTTATTTTTGTATTTGAATAATTGAATTCTTGGAGAATTCAATTATTATTTTTCGTACTTTTCACTAACAATTCTGTAGAATTAATTTTTTTTTTTGAAAAAGTTTAATTGAATAATAATTGAAGTAATTGATTTAAAGAAGAATTTTATTTGAAAATTGTAGAAAATAATAATTGAATTGAAATGATGAAAAAAATAATTTTGAAGAAATTACAGTAACAATATTTTTATATAATAATAAAAAAATGATTTTATCACTCGGCGATCTTTAATAATTATTATAAAACATGAAGAAATTGATCAATTTCTTCATGTTTTGTAATAAAATTTCCATAAATTGTTGAATTTCAAAAAGGTTTGAATTTTAAATTTTGTAAAATCTTAATTTCTATGAAAAAATAATAATGATTAAATATTTATTTTAAATACCTTTTTGTTAAATAAATATTTAATATTATTATTATTTTTCCATTGGAATTAGGATTTTTAAAAATTTTAAATTTCAAATCCTTGGATATTAAATAATTTATAAGAATTGCTTGACTTTTCTCTGAATTTCTTGATTTTCCTGAATTTCCTGATGTTGATTGTTGGCAGCAATCAACAGTAACAAAAAAAGCTTCTTTCGATTCTTCTATTTTAAAATTTTTAAATAGAAGTTTTTATTCTATTTTCGCATATAATATTGTGAAATAATTTCTATTTTTAATTTATCTACGAGCAAATTTTGCATCAATTTATGTGGATGAAGTTGTAATAGGAAAAAAATTTATCTGAGTAATATAGAAGAAATATTGTGATAAACACTTGAAGAAATTTTAGATATAGGTCTCGGAATATTATGATAAGTGAATAAACAATGACAGGAGATGAGGATTTTTAGAAAAATGGATTTGTAATGTGCGACTAACCTTTATTCAACCTGATAAGAAAATTTATACTTATCGGATTTTATAATCGAATTTTATGTCATAAGAAAACAATACAGAATTGCTAAATTCTATTATTTACACGTATTTTCGTTTTTTTTTTTGATAATTTGATAGCAATAATAATATTGACTTAAGATTCGACTCAATTACAGGTCAAAATTTTACGTCTTAAATTTTTCTGCTTTTATTTTTCATTTTTTTTTTATTTTTCATTTTCATTTTTTTTCTCTTCATTTCTGTATTCTAATTTCCATTTCCCTTTGTCATCTTAATCTTCTCTTTTGCATCTTTAATTTTGTATCATAATTTTCATCTTCCCTTATTTATTTTCATCTTCCTTTTTTTAACTTCTTTCTTCGTTCTTTATTTTTTAACTATATCTGTAGTAATTTTTTTAAACTATTTTTTGTTCTCCAATAACGAGAAGTATTTATTTCCAATAAATATGAGAAAATGTCACTGAATCATAAAAACAAAATTTCTGCCAAGTGAGTGAAAATTATGCTCCTTGCAAAAACATTTTGTAAAACTACGAATATAATGTTTCGTTTCATGAATTTTGGCAAAGATCTTGTTGATTTGAATCAACATATTTTTCTTGTTTTTTGAGAAAAAATAGTCAATTTTGAAACGAAGGTTTCACTATTACAAAATTATTGATTTATTTATTTATTTATTCAATTTAGAATAAATAAATAAAAAAAAATAATAATAAAGTAAACAAGAATTGGAAAGAAAATCCAGAAAAAAATTGCATAGTTTGTCTTTTTGCCATCATAAATTGTTATGTTTAAGTTTTAACGCGTATATATAGCGAGAGTAAAAAGAGAAAGAATGCTGAAAAATGTGTGTTATTTATTTGTTACACGTGCAAGACAAGAGTGAAAGAAAGTCAATACTCACGTATCGAGTCGCCCTTCTTCGAGGTACTTTTGTTCTTCTTGTTCTTGGGATAAATGTTACCAATCTTACTCTGCCCACAACCCATTCTGTTCGATTAAGAAGGCTTTCCGCACTTCGGAGAACCGCAGTTTCACACACAACTCACAAACACTAATCTTTTCTTTTTCCTTTCTCACACTTTTTTCATTTTCATTCGATCCCCATTCTATAATTGTTACAAATAGTGACGAAAAAATCTAAAATCTTCTTTTTATTTCCCTTGCAGCACTAATTCGTATGCACTAATTCCCTGTTCTCTAGTTTCACAATTTTTTCTTGTTTTCCTTTTTTTGCAAATTTGTCTTTATGTATATGTATAAATATAAACTTTGTACTGTGTATTTATTGCCCAAATAAATTTTTTAATATTTAAATTTTTTTCACTGAGGACTTTAATTTTTGATAGTGAGATCCAAAAAGGAGGTTCTTATTGTTTTGTATTTTAAGAACAAAGTGTATAGTGTATCGTGTGATTTCTTCTTGATGAAAAATTTCATTTTTTAGATATGTAATGTGTTTTGTTGCAAAACCTACATTTTTTCAGTCTTTCTCTTTTGGTTTGTTTTATTTTGAATATTATTTTTTTCCTTCAATCACTTGCGTCTGTACAATTGCTCTTATTTCTTTCTATTTTTATGTACATGGATAGTAGACTTTTTTTTGCCACCTTTTTTTGGGTTTTTATTTTTGGCTACCTGAATAGAGGCAGCCAATCCATTTTTGGATCTTAATACCACTCCTTTCGCCTCATTCTTGATGTATCATCTAACCAATGTCAAGCTTAACAAGTGAATCATCGTTCCCTCTCTCTGCATACATTCGCAATTCCTTAAATTGGCTATATTTCAGAAAGAAATCTCTCCTTCGCTGGCGTTTTTTTTTTTTTTGCTCCTCCTCCTCGGGGAATAATTGTCAAGGTAGAAGTAACACTTGGAAAGGAATCGCCATTTATCTCGAGATTTTCTCTTTTCTGTATTTATCTGAAAATGCTTGTTAGTTTTTCATGGTGATCTGTTTCTCAAGTTGTTTGATTTTTCTCAATTTGTTGACGTCGATGATGATGATGATGATTATGATGCTGATTATAATGCTGATTTCTTGTACAAATTTTCAAACGGAATTTATCTGAAAATGACTGTTAATTTTCCATAATGATTTTTTTTTCGAAGCAGTTTGTCGACAATGATAATGATGCTAATGATTTTCGAATTTTCGTACAGATTCTCCGGGTGTACTTTCTTAATTTATTGATAATGTTGTAGATGCTGACGAATTTTTAATTTTTGTACAGATTTTCAAAGTTTCTGTTAATTTTAGTCACATTATTTATTTATTGATGCGGCATAATGATCTACTTTTGGAAGTTGATGACGATAATGATTCTGACGATTTTTGTAGAGATTTTCCAGTTCTACTTTATTAATTTATTGACAATTTTGAAGATGCTGACGAATTTTAAATGTTTGTACAGATTTTCGGTTGTACAAATCTGAAAGTTTTTGTTAATTTTAGCCAATTTATTTATTTATTGCCGCAGAATGATGATCATGCTGCAGTATAATTTTTGAAAGTAGATGATGATAATGTTGCTGACGATTTTTTTTACAGATTTTCCAGTTGTACTTTTTAAAATGATTGATAATGTTGAAGAGCCTAACGATTTTTAAATCTTGTGTACAGATTTTCGGTGGTACTTTCTCAATTTCCGGACAATGATGATGATTTTTTGGTTCTTGTACAGATTCTCAGCTGTATTTGTCTAAAAATGTTTGTTAATTTTCCATAATTGTCTATTTGTCGAAATTTGTTGCCAATGATAATGATGCTGACAATTTTTGTACAGATGAAGATCCTAACGATTTTTAAATGTTGTGTCCAGATTTTTAGCTTTTTTTCAATTTCTTGACAATGATGATGATGCTGAGAACATTTTAGTTCCTATAAAGATTTTCGACTGTATTTATCTGCAAATGTCTGTTAGTTTTCGACAATTATCTATTTTTGAAATAATTTCTTGACGCGTTGGATTTGTTTTCGATGCTGATGATTTTTACATTCTTGTACAATTGTTACCGGTATTTTCTGAATTTCTTTCCAAGGTAATTCTGATAATTTTAAGGTTCTGGTAAAGATTTGTAGCTGTAGTTCCTCAATTTTTTTTTTTTTGATGATTTTTAGGTTCTTGTACAGATGTCAATGATGAGTATTTTTGGTTTCAGTCTTTTTGAAGGAAGAAGAGACACTGAAAATTGGAGCAAGGTGGTTCTCTTTCACAGTGAATTCGAAAGCACAATGAGCTTTTCTGAGGCGTTTTGTATGATGTGGTCCGGCGGGCAGTAGATTGCGATTATCGGATCTGCAAAAGAAAATAAACACAATGGTTATCCTCGTTTCTGGGTTTAGGTTTATTGGAGAGAATTCTATGAAAATCGAACATGTGTGTATATGTGGCTAGGATAAATAGACGAGATATTGTGTGTGAAATTTTGGAATAGCATCAGCTGCAGCAATATATGATCATTACAGTTTCTGCTATAATGTATATGTATGTGATGCGAGATGAGAAGTGGACTTGATTCAGGAAAATACAAAATGAATGTGTTTGTGTGGTGCGGAATGCGATATATATCGATTGCACAAATACGATCCATTTGTTCCAAAGATTATTTCTGACGTATAGTTGGTAGAAAGCAAATAATAACAATGGTACAGAAAGCAATAATTAATCCTCTTGATCAGAGACAAAGATTCGCGAGTTCTACGGTCGACATTTGAATTTCGAATTTTATGTCGCAATTCTTTTCGTATCTTTTTCGTATCTTGAATTGAATTTTAAAACAGAATTTTGAATCAAACAGTTTTTGATGTTTATTAAAATAGTTTGAAATAGGACATTTAGGTTTGAATTTTTAGAAATGTTTTTGGTTACATCTTTTAGTCTTGGCCTTTTTTGGTCTCTCTTTTTTCAGCTTTGATTTTTTTTTTCTCTACTCTGCCAATTATTTTAAAATGTTAACGCATGAAGAACATTCAAGGAAACTGACAGTAATTTAGATCACTAAATACATCAGTTTGCTCGATATCTTCAAGGGAACTCGAACGTTACCGATGTAATTAAATTCAAGTACGTCAGGCCAAACTGAGTTATATAGTTCCACACGTGTTTATATACATAATTTCTTCGAAAAAAACTGCAAAATTAAAAAAATAATCTATTTTCTCTTCTTCAGCAACAATTTTCGATTTTTTTCTAATTTCGCGAGACGATAAAAAATACGTTTTTGTAAACATGTTTACTAAAAGAGTGAAAATAAGGATAAATATAATAAAAAAATAAATATAAACATTGAGAAATTTGAAATATAAAATCTACGCTTTGTAGAATTGTATATTAAAGATAAATTTCAAGATGATCTTTGACCAGTAGAGAAATAATACCATGTTAAATAAAGGGAATTGGTTAAGTAGTATATATATCGTCAATTAAAGCATTTTTATTCTTTTTATCTTATCTAATAAAATGCGATGAGAGAAATGATCGGTCTTAGACAATGAAAAATATACAAACAAAATTTATAATAAAGCATGATTTTTCTTTTTTTTTATTAAAGAGAAGAAAAATTGTCTGTTATAGAAATTGGCGATGCTGTTCTTTTTTTGTTATAGAAAAAAAATTGCCTCAACTTTCTTTATGTACACAATTAGATTAATCATCAAACTTCCATTATGTACGATTTAATTGGGCAATAAAAGCGGATGCTTTTCTTTATACGAAACTTTTTCATACGGCTCGAACTAAAATGTCTTAATTTGTTACGTTTCCTCCCCTATATAGAAGGTTTACTTCCGTTTTATATAACTTATCTCCTTTTACTCCTTTCTTTCCCTTTTTATATATGATGAAGAAAAAAACTCATTACTAATACTGTATAGTGATAATATTATATTAATCAATAGTTAAAAAAATTATTATTTCTCTTTACAAAAAACTAGATCTATAGAATTATTCTACAAAAAATCTATTAAACATTTTGTAGATTAATTAATTATTTTTTTTTTGTTTCGTTTTTTCAAAGTCTAATATTGACTTTGAAGAAAATAAGAAACAAAAAAATTTAATTTAATTAATTAAATTAAATTATATTGTATTAAAAAATTATGTAAGAAGTTAAACTAAATTGATTGACTAAAAGATTTTTCGTGAATATTTGAATATTTCCATTGAAGGTAGAAATTAATTTTTTCCGTGTTTATGAAATAAAAATTTTTGTTTGTTTGGTGTACTTAAAAAAAAGTCTGTAATCTTTTGAGAGTGGAAGTTCCACCACGTTTCATAAATTCATTTTGTTACCATATGAGAAAGTCACTTAACTCTGATCAAATTTCTCGCTAGTGACCGCACGCCGTATAATTGTAAATAATTTAATTATTTCGAACCAACGAACGAAATACAAACATAACTATATATAGGAAAATTTTATTTACAATAATTCCTGAATATTATATATATTCCACGTGTTGACATAAAAAGAAAAAATTTAGAAAAAATAAAACAAGAAAAACGCAAAAAGAAAAAAATGCAAAAAGAAAAAAAGCAAAAAGAAAAAAATTAATGTAAATTAAAAATATTATTTAAACATTTTATTTAATCTTTTATTTAATATTTTTTATTAAATTATTTTACTATAATAATATAATAATGATTTTAAAAAAATAAAAATTTGTAAATTGTATAGAAATTGAAGAGTGATATTAAAAAAAAATGTTTTTTTTTTAAAAAAACTTTTTTGAAATAACACTGAAAAGTGAAATAATAACCCAATTTAATGTTACAATTAACTGTACTGGTATCATGCCTATGCAATGCATTAGAATTGTTACACGTTTGATAATAATAATCTTAATGCACTTAGTGAAGCACTTAGTAAAGTGCATTATTATTTCATCCAATCATGTGTCTTGGTTCATTTGGCAGCTGATTTATTGAATTGCAACCCCCATATTCTGTTTAAATTCGATTGCACTCGCAGTTTTCATATAGGGACAATAGAAATTTTCTTCTTTTGTTCATTTCGTTTGCATAAACAGTTTTATCTTTTATTTCCACATTTTCAAAATTTGCTGTTTTCCTTCATTTTTTATTTTTTTTTATTTTTTTATTTTTGACAATAGAATTTAACAATGTTGTCAATATTTGTTTTAAAAATTCTATTATTATATATGCAATTTTTCATATTTGCATTTCGTTTCTTATAAAAATAAAATTCATTTCTATACAATACGAAAAAATAAAATTTTTTTCTATTGAAAAAAATTGAATTTTCATAGAGAATTTATCAACAAATTTTTATTTTTTATATAATTGAATTCTCTTGGGAAATTTTAATAAAATTTTTAAAAATAATTGCATTTTTCGAGAAATTTGATGAAAATTGTATTAAAAATAATTGAAATTCTGACAAGAATTTTATTAAAAATTTTGAAAATAATTGAATTTCGGAGAAAAATTTTATTATTTATAAAGATAATTGAAATTTTGAGTTTTTATAAATTTTTAAACATATAATTGAATTTCCAAGAAAAAATTTATTACTTTTGTAAATAATTGAATTCTTGTGATGAATATATTGTTATTTATGAAAATTATTGAATTTTGCAAAGAATTTTATTACAATGCCTCAAAATAATTGAATTTTCGGAAATAATTTTCTTATTTATCTTTAATAATTGAATTCTTTCCACGAATTATTTATGTAAATAATTGAATTCTTGAGAAGAATTTTATTAAAATCTAAAAGAATAATTGAATTTTTCAAAAAAATTTAATTAAAAGTGTATGTAAAATAATCGATTTCTTTCGTCGAACAATTTTATTAAAATATTTGAAAATAATTAAATTCCTGTGAAAATTTCTAATATTTTTTGTAAATAATTGATTTTTTCGAGGAATTGGAATTAAAATTTTTAATAATAATTACATTTTTTTTGAGTAATTCCTGTAAAATTGTATTCAAAATAATTGAAACCCTGCGATGAATTTTATTATTTATAAAAATAATTGAATTGTTGCAAAGAATTTTATTAAAATTTTAAAAAATAATTGAATTCCTGAGAAGAATTTTATTATTTATGAAAATAATTGTATTCTTGCTAACGATTTTATTAGAATTTTTGAAAATAATTGAATTTCGGAGAAAAATTTTATTATTTATAAAGATAATTGAAATGGAGAAAAATTTTTGTAAATTTTTAAACATAATTGGATTTCTGCGAAGAATTTTTATTAAAATTCTTTTGAAAAAAATTGAATTGTTACGCAAAAAATTTTATTAAAATTTTTGAAAATAATTTTATTTTTTAAAGAAATTTAATTAAAAATGTATTAAAAATAATATACTTAAATTCTAATAAATAAATTGTAGCAAAGTTTATTAAAATAATTAAATTTCTTTGATAAATTTTAATAAAATTTCTAAGAATAATAACTTTTTCGAGGAATTCCATTAAAATTGTATTAAAAATAATTGAATTTTATTTGACACAAACAAATATTTATTTAATGCAGAGAAATATTTGCTGAAAAATTCATTTTTTGATTCTAATAAACGATTACTTGTCTATTATAATAGACAAATAATCGTTTATTGGAATCAAAAAATTTTTTTTTCTCAGTGTACAAATTTTTTTTTTCAATGTATTTTTTTTTTTTTTTGAGGCTTAGCCTTTTGTTTTTTGGGATTATATTCTCGAGAGATGAATGAAAAATACGTGATATTTTATTTAACCCCGTTTATCTTAAAATGCGATGACACGTTTTGTTGGAGATGTAGTCACGCGATTACTTGGCGAATTACAAACCCAGTCCCATTTCCCATTGCACAGGTCAGTTACACCTGAATCAATAATATCTGTATAGGTATATATATATATATATATATATATATATATATATATATATATATCGTGAGGTGCTCTTATGAAAATTCTTGAAATTTTCATCTTTCTTTTTTTTTTGCATTTTATCTGCAAATTTTTTACGTGGAGAAAAATTTATAATAGAATGAATTTTCATTTGACTGAATTTGACTCTTATTGAGCCAAATTTCAATTATCAGAAATTTCCCCATACAGAAGTGATCGTGGGAATTTTTATTTTTTGGAAATAGAATTTTGCAGAATTTAATCGAATTTTGAATTTATTGTAAGTAATTAGATAAGTAATAATAAATAGGCAATGATAAATAACTAAATAAATAAAAAAGTAAATATAGTATATTTCGTAACGAGTGCGAGCAGTTGTCAATTTTTGAATGAACACTTTTTTTGGAACAAACTGTATGCGAAGCGAAGCTTCGCCTACAATTTGTTCCAAAAAAAGTGCTCGTTCAAAAATTGGCAACTGCTAGCACTAGTTACGAACGATATTTTTCATAACAAGGTGCAAAAAAGTGCCCTTTTTTGCACCGCGTTATGAAAAGAATATAAATAATGTAAATAATAAATTAAACAACTAAATAAATATTTAACTAAACAACTAAATAGCGAGCACAAGACTAGGAGAAGCGGCCCCCACTCCGCTCCATCACAGTGGTGAAGGGTGGGGGGGGGGGGGGGTCGCTTCTCCTAGTCTCGTACTCGCTAGTTGACAAATTTTTTCAAGCAATTAAATTTCTACGACACTGAATCTTCGCATTTAATATAAAAATACACTTTATAAGCCAAAATATAAATAGATATTTAGAAAAATAAAATTTAATTAAAATATATTTTGGTTTTTCGCAAAAATTTGATAAAATAAAAATTGTTAGATAATTCAGCAAAATTGCGAGGCAAAATGTCAATTCAATTAAATTGCAATTCAGTTGAATGACAGTTTAATTACAAAAAAAAGAGGAAATTGGTTAAATAACAATTTGGAGCAAATGAGAATTGAGTATAAACTAAATACGCTTAAATGACAATTCAATTATACCATATAAGGGTTTATTTCCAATGAAAATGGAAAGTTTTTGGTTCAATAGCAATTTGGTGCGAAATCTCTTGTTAGGTATACATTGCAAATTTTTTAATGAATATATATGCGCACACGCAAAGTTAACATAAATTTTCTAGAAGATAAACAGAAAAATTGATTTTCACTGATTGGTATTTATAGTGTCTTTGCAAAAAGCATGTAAACGTCAATTTAATTTTTTTTTTTTTTTTTTATAACAAAAACCCCGATTTCGCGTCACTCCCATTTTCTTTTTTTTACCCCGTTAGTGGTCTCAGTCTCCACCTAATCTTTCGATCCAATTACGTAATAGGATTTTAGGTTTAACTCTTCTAGATGCGTATGTGACAAGAAATAAATTTCAAAAATTGAAAAAAGAAAATCACTATATATTTACACCCTTTGACAATATTTTACACGTGTTCCAAATTAATTTTGCGCGAAAGTTCTAGATATGTGTATATGGTTTCTTTGAATATTGTTTTGTATTTTTTTAAAAAAAAAGGTTAAAAGTGTAATGTAGACAGAGGTAGAAAAATTAAAAGTTAATAATAAAAAACTGAAAATTTAAAATAAAAAAAAGAATACTTTTTTTAATATGAGGGTAAATAATATAAATTTAATTTTTAATAATTTAAACAATATTATTAATAATAAATAAATAACTAAATAATAATAATAATGTAATATTGTACCTAACGTCCCCTCTCTGTCTTTGCTTTTTAACGCATGCGCGCTGATCTAACGCCCCCTCTTAACGCATGCGCGCTCACCTAAAGTCCCCTCGTATGTATAATTTTATTTTCGGTTCGAAATTTTTTATTTGTCGCGATTTATGTTTAATAATAATAATTAATTTTAATATGGTCTACAATAAAAAAGAAATATATAACAAAAAATAATAATAAAACGAACGAATAAATAAATATATAATAATAATATAAAATTAAAAAAAAATGTTATAACAATAAATAATAATAATAATAATAATAATAACAATGGTAAAAAAAAAGTAAAAAAGTATCGAAAGTAAAATAATACTTTAAAATAAACTAAATAAACAAAAAAATAAATAATAATAATAATAATACCTAACAATAAAAAATATTTTTATAAATATATAAAATAATATTTTGTATAATAATTATTTATTATAATAATAATAATGATATTTTTTTGCCATATTTGATAATTAAATGAATAGACAATGTTTGTATATGTTATGAATAATATTTCTATCTTAGGACTATAAATTTAGAAAGGAATTTGATGATATAAGTTCAAAATTAACTCAGGTGTAACCTTGACTTAATATAAATATATTTACGCGCCGGATGCTGGAAAAATCAGTCTCTGGAAAGTACAAAGACCCTTCAAAATTATTTAAATCCCTCTTAATAAAAATTTATTGGAATTTTTAAACTGAATTTTATTTGAATTCTCACATATGGGGATAGAAATATTTTTTTGACCTTTTGCAATATTAAATTACACGTGACCTTTTTTTAAAAAAAGGCCTATATTATTATATCTATAACAATACTTTAATAATCGAATTTTTTTATTCGCTTTTCAATTTTTTAATTAAATTATCTCCCAGAAAGGAATTGCATCTAGTGTTTTAATAAAAATTAGATTTCATTTCATGTTCACTCGGACGTATACAACTCATTAGTATTTTATTATTTCATTACATTTCTCTCTCTCACTCTCTATATAGCTGTAAAAAAAATAAAAAGGATATTTTTTAATGAGTGTAACGTCATTAAAAAGTTTTTTTTTTAATTTTATTTTTCAAATAAATTATGAATAGATTTGTAAATTTAATTTTTGGTTTTTGAGTAAATAATGAGCGTTTCTTTTTTTTTTAACCCTTTGGCTATAAATTTATTCCTACTTTCGTAAAGAAGTTTTCTATTTTCGCGATAACGATCTTTTTTAATTAATTTAAGTTGAATTGGAATGAATTTTTATAAAGAAATTTATTCTGATAAATTAAATTTTTAATTAAAAATTAAAAATTAAATTTATTCAAATTAACAAATTATTTTCGTTAAATTGTTAAGTACTACCTTTTGTTAATAATAAATTATTGATTATTAATTATTTATTATCATTAACAAAAGGTTAATCAACTTTATTAATTAATTTATTTATAATAATTTATTAATTAATTTATTTATAATAATTTATTAATTAATTTATTCGTAAATAAAGTTGATTAACCTTTTTTTAATGATAAATTATTAATAAATTATTATCAATAAAATAATTAATAATTCAATTGTTAATTGTTTATTAATTAATAAATTGTGATTAAAAAATATATTATTGTAATCGGAATTAATGACGATGATCAGAAAATTAAGTTATTTCTTAATTATACATAAATATTGTATTTGTTGATGCTAAAATTAGTAATTATCAATAACAATTTAGACTTAATGATAATTAAGTGATAAATAAATTCGAGAAAAATATTGCAGAAAAAAACAAATACATAAATACAAATTAAAAGTTAAATATAAACTCAACAAAACAAGTTTAAAATAAAAAATTTAAATACAATTGAAATGATATAAATTTGAAAATGGAAAATACAACAATGAAAGTAAATATTTATTTGATTCAAGCAAATATTTTTTTGATGCAAGTAAATATTTATTTGATACAAGGAAATATTTATTTAATGCAAGTAAATAGTTATTTGATGCAAGTAAATATTTATTTCACACAAATAAATATTTATTTGGTACAAGGAAATATTTATTTGATATAGTCAAATATTTAATTTATACAAGGAAATATTTATTTCATACAAGGAAATATTTATTTCATACAAGGAAATATTTATTTGACACAAGGAAATATTTATTTGATACAAATAAATATTTGATAAAATTCAGGTAATTTTTTTTTTTGAATAAAATATTTTTTATTTAGTGAACAATATAAATTCAAAAATAGAAAATACACGACTGAAAAAATGTATTTTATTCAAATAAACAATTTCTCGTCTAGTATGAAATAATTATTAACTTCAGGCAAATAATTTTTATTAAAATCACATAAATTATATTTGAACCAATAATTTTAGTATTTGAAGCAAATAGCATTTAATCGACTTAAATAAAATTTATTTCATACATGTAAATATTTATTTAACACAAGTAAATATTTATTTGCCACGAGTAAATATTTACTTGAATTAAATCATTTTTATTTAAATGAAATAAATTGTATTTGAAGTTGAACCAATAATATTAGTATTTATGAAGCAAGTAGCATTTAAATGACTTAAATAAAATTTATTTGATAGATACAAGTAAATATTTATGTGGTATAAGTAAACATTTATTTGATACAAATAAATAATTATTTGATAATTGACAGTTAAATGTTTATTTGAAAATAAATTTTTTCTAACTGAATAATACAATTTCAAAAATAGAAAATATAACCCTGAAATAAAAAATTTATTCGATTTTAATAAACAATTACTTGTTTATTATCAAATAAATAAATAGTTTAATTAAATAATTTTTATCGAAATCAAATAAATTCGAGAATAAATTTGTAAATATTTCTTTAATGCAAGTAAATATTTTTTTGATGCAAGTAAATATTTCTTTGATACAAGTAAATATTTCTTTGATACAAGTAAATATTTCTTTAATACAAGTAAATATTTATTTGCATCGAATAATTTTTTCTTCAACGGTGAAAAGAATTTTCAAAAATCAAAAATACAAACACAATAATACAAATTCAATAATAGAAATTTAAAGATAAAGAGAATACTGCAACAAATTCTGATTGTGTAAAATATGCGAACAGACAAAATCTACTTTAATTACATTCGAGAATCTTTTAATACATACTCTGAATATTTAACGATGGGATCAGCAACAGTTTGTGTGTGGCAATTTAAAAGAATCCAAAGATCACTTTAATCACTAAAAATAGTTTTTTTTTTGTAGAAAGAGCATAACATTTTTAGAGAGAAAAACAAATTTTTTTTTGGTAATTAATAGCAGTAAATTTTTGAAAGTTCTTATTTTAGTATTCCGGTGTTTCTCTCTTCTCTCCTTTCGAATTTATTCGCACTATTGCAGTTCAGTTCCTTTTTTTTGTTTCTTATTTCTTTTTTTTTCTTATTTTTATTTTAAAAATTAATTTTAATATTTGAATGCAAAACAATTTTTAATTTTCACCACGACGACGACGTACGATGTGAATAATACACAATGTACGTACGTGCGTCGATGTGATTGTATGCATACACATCCACGAGGTATTATTTACCGTTTATTTTCTTTTAAATATTTTTTAGATTTTTAAATAAGCAACGTAAATTGCGCGATTTTTTTTTTGTTTTTTATTATATATATATTGTAAAGAAAAGATACACTCAGTTCGAGGCTCCAGAATCGACTGGCAAGAATTGCCAGGAAATTTTGCACATGCGCATTTCTTTTGACAAAAGTTCAAACCTTGTGGTGTCACATGAAATACGGCGCGGGATAAATACTACATAAGATTTTTTTTGTCTTTTATACTTCTCTCCATGTTATATCTGTAAATATATTTTTTTTATTAAAAAATCTATAGACTCGGAATTTTTTTTTTCTGAGGAAAAATAAATTTCTCTATAACAACGAAAGTTATGACTGAAGCAAATAAATATTTCGTTGATATAGTGAAATTAGGAAATGTACGATTTTTTATTCAAAATCTACATTTGGAATTTTTTTTCTGGTACATTTTGAACTTAAGTTTTTTGAAAATTAAAATTAATAGTAAAAATCTTTTTATATTATTATTATTTTTTTTTTTTTTTTGAGTTTTTAAACTTGGGAATTTTTTTATACGAGGTAAGAAATATAAAATAACTTTTACTACTTACGAAGTAAAATCCAAACTGTTTGAAATATCTGCGCATCAAGTAATACTATTTTCAGATTTTTAATAGCAAATTTTACTATTTCCAGAGTTAATTTTTGTATATTTTTTTTCAATTTTCTTCGAACGTAGTACAAATTTATTTCCAGAGTAAAGTTTAATACGTATAATAAAGTAAATTTTCTCAAATTTTGGTAAAGTAATTTTCTTCGTAAGTATAGGAAAAGTAAGTAGTAAAAATTTTGGAAATATTTATTTTTTACTAGTAAATTTTCCTATTTTTGAACATAATTTCACAAAGTGCGAATAGTAAATTTTACTAATTTTTACTGAAGCTTCATTCGAATATTATGAAATTTACTCTGATTTTTAGTATCAATGACGATTTTTAATATCAACTTTTACTATATTTTTGGACTATTCACTAATTTTTGTTTTCTAAAAAAGTAAAATTTCTAGAAACAACAATTTTTAGTAGTAAATTTTACTACTTTTATAAAGGAAATTTTACTAATTTTAACTTACTACGGATATTAAAAAATTTACTCTGAATTTAAAAATTTTTAATAGCAAATTTTACTATTTGAATAGTTAATTTTTGTATACAAATATTTTTAGTTTTTTTCGAACGTAGATTAAAAATAATTATTTCAAGAGTAAATTCTAAATTTTACTTTTTTCTAAAGTAAATTTCTCTAATTTTTGTAAAAAGATTTTCTTCGTAAGTAGTAAAAGTAAATAGTAAAATTTCTGGAAATAACAATTTTCAATAGTAAATTTTACTATTTTTCAGAGGAAATTTTAGTAAATTTTACTAATTTTTACTGAAATTTACTTCGGATATAGTAAAATTCATGAAATTTGAAAATAAAAAAAAATAATACACCTAATAAAATCTAAAAAAAAAATCGATTCCAAATTTAGAAAAATTATAAACTACTAAAAAAGATAAATAACAAATTTATTTATAAGAGATGTATTTAAGTAATTATTATTTAATAGAAATTATTATTTTCTTTTAATTTTGAATTGTTTTGATAAATAATTCTAATATGAAGTATTTTTTTTTGTTTCAGGTGAGTCAAAAAATCATAAGTTACCTGTCGACTTTATTTCGTAAGTTAATATTTACATTGAAATATACCAATTTTTTTAATTATATTTTACAAATAAAATATAATTAACATCAAAGGAATAATTAAAATTTTCTGATTCATTTATATTTAGCGAAAAATATCAGCCTCCGCGGTATTTTTATTCGATTGATAATTAATTAAATTGAAAAACAAAATCGCAAAAATTCCTTTTTGCAAAATTTCCTTTTTATTTTTAAATAATTTTTATTGTTTTATTTTCTTATATAGAAAAATTAAATGGTTTCTGAATTAAATTTAAATTTAAACTATAAATAAACTAAAAAATAAATAAAAAGGCAAATAAAAATATAAAAAAATAATTTGATAAATGAATAATAAATAAATAAATAAATAAATAAATAAATGAAAATAAAATAATAATAAACTAAAAATAAAAAATCAGGAGTAATATAACAGGAATTGTTCATTTGTTAATTGTTAACATTGAATAATAACAATAATTATTTGTTATATAAATTGTTAATAAAATTTATTAATACAATTAACAATGTTTTTATTTTTTTTTAAATTTTTTAAATATTAATTAACAAAAACAAAATAAAAAACAATTAACATTAAAAATGCTAAAACATGATTTTAATATTTTCTTCATCTGAAAAAATAAATAGAAATGAAAATTTATTATCAACAATAATAATTTTGTTTTTTTTTCTTATTTTATTATTTATTTATCTCTAAAAACAAAAAAGTGAATATTTCTCCTAAATTACAATAGACTTTTATAAGTACCTAAATTACTATTAAAGTTTACAATAAAAAATGCTTCTGTAATTTAAAATCTAGACCAATGCAAAGGTTACTTTAGTTTAGGAATTGACCTGATTAGCAATAAATTAAGTTTAGTAAACCGCAGAGAATAGCTTAGGAAAATTATATATATTGCACAAATTGTATATATACACTGTTTTGCACTTAATTTTGCAAATAAAAAAAGCAAAAGCGCTAAAAGATAAAATCCATTATCAACTATATTACATTTTTAAATTTTATTTAAAAAAAAAAAAAAATTTTTAATTTGAAGTAAACAAAAAAAAGATGTAAAAATAAAAAGTAATTTATAATTTTTTCTTGAAACAATTTTTTTCGTTATTATATATTTATTATCAAATGTATTAAATTCTAAAACTAATTTATTAAAAGGTAAAAATTTGATTACTAAGTATAAAATTTGAAGTAAACAAAAAAAGATGTAAAAATAAAAGTAATTTATAATTTTTTCTTGAAACAATTTTTTTCTTATATACGAATTCTTTTTGATAAGAGAAAAAATTCTAATCACGTTCAATTCAAGAAAGTCATGGAATCGATAGGGGTTAGTGTATTTAAAAAAAAACGTGATAAGAAACTTTAAGGAAGACATTAGGTGAATGTATAAATAATCGATGGTTTTAAGCAAAAATTCTCCGAGTTTTAAATTTAAAAAAATCTAATCAACAATTATCACCAAAAACAAATTCTTTAAAATTAAAATAAAATTATTTTCTTTTTTATTTTAGAATTAAAAATATTTTTTTTTAAATAAAAATAAAATTATCTTCTTTGTTACTACCTATTAAAAATTTGTTTAATAATAATAATTACTGAAATAATAATAATTTTTAAATTGCAAAAAAATGACAAAAAAATATTTTGCAAAAAAAAAATAATTGTTATAAAAAGTAAAATTGAATAATCCGTAATTAATAATAAAATAATAATAATGTTAGTTATAATAATAATAATAAATAATTAATAATAATTAATTAATTAAAGAAGAATGGTTGAAATAAATTAAAATTTTTTAATTAAATTTAAAACAAAAATGAAAATTTTTTATTCTATTTATTTAAAATAAACATTTCAAATTCACCCTTAAAATTGTGCCCCTTGTAAAATCTCTCTTAACTTCCATGTATAACGGTTTGCAGTCTTTAGGCGCACTGTTTAAAGTATAAAAAGTATTTTAATTTTTTTTTAAATAAATTTCTTTATGCGTAATCAATAGTAAAAAAAATTGCTGTTGCGATTTTCGTATTAAAAAATAAATTATTTTTTATGAACTCTATAATTTATTTAAAATAGGGATCTATACTTTATTTGAAATATCGATGTTGAGACGTAATTTTTTACTGTGAATTGTGAATTGGACCTAGTGATTTTAGATTTGCTTTATGGCGAGAAATTCAAAATTTGAAGTATATAATTAACTTCTTTTTAATTATATGCATTGAATTATCCAAAAAAAAATACTTTATCTCGGTAAGTGTTATATTTTTTTTAAATTTGTATTTTTGTTAAATTTTTTTTTCTTGCAAAGTTGTGTAAGAAAATTTTTTCTGTAAAATTGTGTAAAATTTTCTACGTTTTAGCATTGTAAACAAGCCTTAATAGAGCAATAACTGTTTAGATAGAGGAAAATTTTTATTATCATATTTTAGTTGACAATGGTCGATTCACAAAAAGAATCTTCGCAAAATGCAGAAAAAAGCCAGAAACCTAGAGAAAAAACAGTTCTTCGACATAGTCTTTCAGGAGGACCACATGGATTAGGTAGGAATATTAATTAAATAATTTATTTCACACACAAATTTCTCAAAAATGTTACGTAGAGGTTATAATTTTTTATTAAAAAGAAAAACATTGTAAATTTAATTTTAATAATAATAAAATTTTATTTTTGCTAATTGCTTCTTCTCTACAAACAATTTTATCGCAAATTTTTTTAAGTTTAAATTAACGTTAATTTAATTCTAATTTAATTCAAATTTCAATTCCTGAATAAAAAAATTTATTAATTAATAAATTATCTAATTTTCAGATAAAAATTAATTATTGATAAATTATTCAATTTTCGAATAATAAATTAATTTTATAAAAAATAATTATTGATAAATTATTCAATTGTCGAATTAAAATTAATTTATTAAAAATGTAATAAAAGTTAATTATTGATAAATTATTAAATTTTCAAATAAAAAATAATTCAATTAAAGTAATTCAATAAAAATTGTTAATAATATTAAAATTTTAGTAAAAGTCAATTATTGATAAATTATTCAATTCTCAAATAAAAATTGTTAATTTAATAAAAGTTTAGTAAACATAAATTATTCAATTTTCGAATAAAAATTATTAATTTAATAAAAGTTTAATAAAAATTAATTTTTTGATAAAAATGATAATAAGAATTAATTATCGACAAAAATTATTTTTAGGCGATCCGGATGATAAATTTTTGAGAAAAATAGAATCAGATGTGCTTATTCAAGAGAAAATTAGATACCTTTCTAGGAAAGAAAAGTGCGCAGATGTATCGATAGGTAATTGAAAAATTATAAATTATTTGATAATTTTAATAGAAAAATTGAAAAATAATTTTAAATATTGTTTTTGTTTCAATTATAGAATTTGGCAAATGCAGCAAGGATGCTGGATTACTAATGCCTTGGAAGTGCAGAGAAGAAAATTCTAAACTTCAAGAATGTCTAAAATATTGGTTTAATAATCAGGAATTTAGAGATTACTGTACAGAGCAATATTTAAGTGAGCGAAGTGAATATCGAAGAACAGGAATTCCCCCAAAGAAACTTGATCGAAAAACAAAAGTTTGGATAGATAATCCTGAAACTCAAACTCAACAGTAATTTCTAATTTAAATAATTAATATTAAATATTTAAAATTTTTAATAATGTATATAAAAGCGTGTAAATAAAAGTACAGAAATAGACACAAATTCTATCAAAATATATAAATATATATTTTTCTTGGTTTATTAACAAAAATTTTTCTTCTCTTAATTAACTATTAAAGAAAGAGGATATTTTCTTTCTCCTTTTTAATTTTGTAATTTTTTTGAGAAATGTTTTTCAAAACATTTTTTTGAGAATTGGTTTTCGAAAAAAAATTTTTTTCTTATGCCGAATCTTCCTCGTCTTCAGATGGAACAAGAGAGGATGCTGTAGACTTCTTATTAATTCTCCATCGCCTCATTAATATTTCTTTGACCGTGAAATCGGATAATTTTTCAAGAGCCACTAAATGATTTTCTCTAGGAACTGAATCCGGCCACATAACTTGAGCCAAAAGAATTTCCTGTGCATATTAAAAATTAGAATTATTATTATTGGAAAATGAAAAAAAGTTTAGTGAACTTCATTATTATTTTTATTAAAAAAATTGTAAAATTTTATACCTTTGCGGCTGATTCTGCTAATCGTTCCATTCCCATAAGATCTTTGAGATTCATTCTTCGCATTGCTTTCTCGGGAATTCTTTTTAATGTTGTCTCGTCAATAACGTCAACGAGAACAATGTAGGATGCGTGATAAAATGGTGGTCCTTGTTTGTACAGTACTTTTTTGGAAAATTGAAAAAAATTTCAATTAATTTAACTTTTTATTTTTAGAAAAAAATTAATTTTAGTTATTTAATTTTAATTTCAATTATTTGCTTTTTTATATTTTTTGACAAAAAATAATTGAATTTGAATTTAAAATTGAATTTATTTTATAATAATTGAATTCTTGAATCATTTTCAAAAAATTATTATTTATAAATTATTTAGAGAATAATTTTACTTTAAAATTTGAAAAAGAATTGAATTTTGACGTCGGTGAAATTCACAGGATTTACAATCAACGATTTAGAAAAAAAATTATTTTTCTGTTTAAATATCGATCAATTTTTGTTTAGAAGTTGTTTTACGTATTTTCCTGATCAAATATTTTTAAAAAATTCTTTCGTAACAAAATTTCCAGGTGCAGGGAAAATATGAAAATTATTTCAACAAAACGAAAGTTAATTTTTGTAGCAACCCTGATAAAAAATAAATACAAATATACTCACAAAAATCACCTCCAAATTTGAGTCCAGGTTTAACAACCCAACCTTTGCTCCGAAAATAATGATAGATTACGTATTTTTGTATAAAATAAATATCATCACGACAAAATTGATCCCAAATTTCTTCGATAGAAAGTATTTTTCCACGAAAATCCATGACACGCAAACAACCAAGTGCAAAGACAAGAAAGAAACTTTCTTCAAATGTTAAATGAAGACTTTCTTTTACTGGAAAACCGTCATCTTCAATTCTCGGTCTAATTTCATTGAGATAATTTTCATTCTCCGAATCGCTGTCCGGTAATATTAAAACTTTTCTAATATCAATGTCATTATTTTCCTCCTCTGATGAAAAGTCCAATTCATCCCTTTGCGATGAATCTTGACGTTTTTTATTAAATTCCTCCTTGGAAATTTCGACAATATCCTCATCTTCGGCTGAATCGAGAATAATTTCGTCTACTTGCTTGTCGGTGGATTTCGACTGTTTTGCCTGTGGTTCTTTATTTTCATCGAGAATTTCAATATCATTGTCTAGACTTCGTTTTCCATGTTGTTGAAGTTTTGTATTTTTATCGGCAACTATTTCAATTATATCCGATAGTTTGGAGTTTTGTGCTTTTGAAGTTTTCGACGTTTTTCCAGACAGACCGGCTGTTGAGTTAATTTTAATTTTAATGATGATAATTAAATTATTAAATTATATAAAATATCAAAAAAATGATCAATTTTCCAAATCAAAATGTTTGACAACATTTTGACTTGGAGAATCGATAATTTTCTTGATATTTTGTATTCAATTTTACTGAGTGATAAATTCTATTTCTATCTAATTGAATTTAATAATTAATTAATAAATTTGAAAATTAAATCATTTCATTGTAATCTGACTTTTTGTAAAAAATATTGTACTCGAAAGAAACATACAAGTTCCTGGTTGACTTTGATCATCTTCATTAATAATTTTTTCCATTTCGTTCTCGGTTTGAAATTCTTCACTCAATTCCTTTACTTCCCTCATCCATTGTAATCTTTGTAGCCATTGTCTCTCTTTGATTACTGGAGGTGCTCCATAACGTGCTTTTCCAAATGTAGGATAACTTCTCGAGAGTGATCCTTTTCCAAAAAAGCCCTTAAATTAAATTTTACATTAATAAAATAATACAAATATAAATTTAAATAATTAAATAATTAAAAGAGAACTAAAATTCCCGAAAAAAGGGATTTCCCTTTTTTTTGGGAATTTTAATTCTTCTCTTTAATTTTAGAAAATGGAATTAATTAATTTCCAAATACCATAGAATGAATTGCTGACATATCATCCGGTTCAGCGATGCAGGTACCTAATGAACTTAATTGTGCAGTAAATATAATTAACTCGCCATTTTCATCGAAAATTATGGGATAAGATTGTTTATGCTCCAATCTTGCTCTAGGTTTCTTCTTTGGTTCACGTAATTCCATTCTTAATTGAAAAATAATACCTAAAAATTAAAAAAAAATTATTGTTTATTGTTCACTGTATTTTTCTATTGTTTGTAATATTTAAATATTATTTTTAACACTGAATATTTTGTATATTCAGCACTAATTAATTCAACTTCAATTATTTTCTAAATTTTTAATAAAATTCTCCACAACAATTTAATTATTTTGACGAATTAAAAAAAATCTTCGCAAAAATTCAATTATTTAAAAAAAAAAAATTCTTCTCAGGAATTAAATTACTTTTAAAATATAATAAAATTCTTCGCAGAAATTCAATTATTTTGATGAATTAAAAAAAATATTCGCAAAAATTCAATTATTTTCAAAGCTTTAATAAAATGAATTAAATACAATTTTGAGAAGAATTTAATTATTTTCCAAAAATTTTAATAAAATTTAATAATCAAATGTTTAATTTCAATTATTAATAAACAGGATTATTTTTAAAATAATTCCTAATACCTATTTCTATACATTCAATAAAATTTGTAACCTCACTATTGATTTTAATATTCAATAATATTTTTAAAGAAATAAATACTAATAATTGAATTTTCAGTAATATTGAAAATTAAATTAATTAAAGTAATTAAGAATTAAATAAATAATTGAAAATACTAACTTGAACTTTAGTAACAAGTAAATGAAGTAAATATAATATATAACCTCAAAAATTACGTCTGACTTGAATTTCATAAATTTTTGTTATCACAAAATACTTTTTTTATGTACATAAATTTATTCCATCTCTTTTTAATGTCTAGTTAAATTTAAAAATTTTTAAATTCTAAAATTTTAATTAAAAGTACTTTAAAACAAAACAAATAGTTAACAATTGTTTACTATAATTACTATCACAACAAAATGCTATCAGCTGACTGACCGGCAACGGAAGTGAACATAGGGAACGGAAGTATTCACTTAAATTCCGGGAAATTTTAAAAAGTAAATTGTCCGTAAATTGAAAATTAAAAAATTTATTATTTTACAAGTTATTACTGTAATTTCAATACTTAATCTAATTATGTTTTGTTCAAAATTATATCATATTCTAAAATATATATTTTATTCTTTAAAGAAATGATGTCATATTCGAAAAATCAAAATTTATTCTTTAAAAAACGATATCTTGTTCAAAAAAAAAAAAAAATTCCAGTTGCAAAATTATGTCATATTCAGAAAAATGTATTCAGTTCAGTTAAAAAATTCTATGGTATTCAAAAAAATAAAATTTATTCTTTTAAAAATGGATCTTTGTCGAAAACAACATTTAGATTTAATTTAGAAAACTGCTACTTGTAGAATAAAAATTATATCGACAATGACAATAAAATTTGATTTGCAAATTTAAAAAAAATTTTGAATTTATTTGATTTTAAAAAAGATAATTTAAATTATTTTAATTGCACCGCTTTTAATTTTGCTTTTTTTGTCACGACGAAGATTAATTAATTTTTTTTTAAAGACCACTGGTAGTTTTGCCGGCGATTTCTAACATTTCTGAAATGTTAACAATTTTTTCTCTTGGTTTTCCCAGTGCTTTTCCACGTTCAATCTCTTCCCTATCAATTTTCTCCCAATCTTCATAAGTTACAATTTGAATTCCTCTATTGTGTAAAATATCTTTCAAAGCCGATGAGCCACTTTTATTTTCCGTGAAATGAATTTCCTTGTGAATCATTGCACCAATTGCAAATGCATTATTCATTGTCGATAGAATAACGCCCGTTGGTCCAGTTGCCACCCAACCGGCAGCATAAATATTATCATCAACTTTACCCGATGAATTAATAACGCGTCCTTTCTTCAAATCAAATTGCACACTTTTGTCAATTGGCAACGATTTGTAACCTATACTTCGAAGTGCAAGACCACAGGGAATTTCTTCCGTTTTCTCAGTAGCCTCGGCTTGTTGTTTTAAAATGTCATCACCTTTCAGACGATTAATGGAAAATTTGACACTGTCGAGAGTTTTTGAACCTTGAAATTCAATGGGACTTCGGAGAAAAATTGGATTTAGTTCCTTGTCGAATTTATCAGTGTCCTGCGATGAATTCTCGAGGGATTGTAACATTAGTTCAGTTAATCTTCTTCTGGGTCTCGCGAGATTTTGAAGAATTTCCTTGACTCCGGTAAAATCATCGGAACGCCAAAAAGTTTTACATTTCTCGAGTTTAATTATTTCTCTAAGTTCAGCCGTTGTGTAGGCAGCTTGCAAGGGTCCCCTTCGTCCAACGAGGGAAACTTTTCGGACTTTACTGCGAGACAATTGCTCCAGAGAGTATGATGTTATGTCCGTCACCTAAAATCAATTTTCGATAAATAGTTTGTCATTTTATCAACCTTATAAATTGTATTTTTTATTATTAATTATTTAATAATAAAATATAATAAAATAATTTAGTTATAAGTTCTAGTGGTAAGAATTAATTATAAAACGGAGTTGTACTTTTAATTTATCAACCGGAGTCAATAGAATTCTTGCAATATCGATCGCTACATTTCCCTGACCAATAACGACAGCCTCTTCAACGTCCAAATTAATTTTTAAATCCTTATCGGAAGGAATTCCATTGTACCATCCGACAAAACGTCGTCCTGATATAACGTTATTTAAATTCTCTCCTGGAATATTTAGTAATCTATCTTCTTCAGCACCGTATGTCTAAAATAAAAATTCTCAATTAATTGATAATAATAATTATTAATGAATAATTTTTTTTTTCTTCAAAAATTGTATAATAAACTTACCAAAATAATGGCATGATAATTGTCTTTTAATTCTTGAACACTTATGTCTCGTCCTACATTAATATTTCCTAAAAATTGAACTCTGGAATTTTTTGCAGTCTTGTGAAAAGTGTTGATCACATTTTTAACTTCCGGATGATCGGGAGCAACTCCATAACGCACTAATCCATAGGGCACTGGAAGTCTTTCCAAAATATCAACTTCCACTTCAGTCGAACCCTTGAAAATAGAAATATAAAATTAAAAATTATTATATTAAACAATTAAATTTAGAAAAATTAATTTTTATTATAGTCAGAAATTAATAATTTTACTTATATAATATTAATTTTAATGATTTTAACATTTTAACTTTAATTTATGAAAATAATTACACTACTGCAAAAAAATTTTAGTGGAAATTTTGAAAATAATTAAATTGTTGCGAAGGATTTTAATATTTATAGGTACAAATAATTTAAATTTTTAGAAGAATTATATTAAATTTTTGAAGGTAATTGAATTTCTGAGGGAAATTTTATTATTTATACAAATAACTGAATTTCTATAAGGAATTCTATTAAAATTTTGAAAATAATTCAATTCTTGCGTATATTTTTTTAATTCATCAAAATAATTGAATTTTTCTAAACAATTTAATAAAAATTTTTAAAATAATTGATTTCTTGAGAATATTTCTTTAATTCATCAAAATAATTTAATTTTTGAGAAGGATTTTATTAAAATTTTGAAAATAATTTAATTGTTTCGAATAATTTTATTATTTATTCAAATAATTAAATTTTTGTGAAGAATTCTAATAAAAGTTTGAAAATAATTGAATTCTTAAGAAGAATTTTTTCATTTATAAAAATATTTTGCAGTGTTTAGCGAAGAATTTTTTTTATTCAAATTTCTGTAAATAATTGAATTTTTGCAAGAATTTTATTAAAAATTTAGAAAATAATTGAATTGCTGAGAAAAATTTTATTATTTATAGAAATAACTAAATTTTGTGAATAGGTATATATTTACTAGAGGTGTAAGGTTAGTTTCTTATAAAGTCAATAATAATTATAAGTCAATTATAATTGACTTGATAAAGTTATAATCTTACACCTCTAATAAAAATAATAAAAATTAACAATTTGACAAAATACCTTTATCAATTGTTGTGCAGCATAAAATCCAGCTGGACCAGCTCCGACAATACAGACTTTTGGAGGAAAAGATTTACTAGATAATTGTCGTACAAAATCAAAGACTATCTTAGATTTCATTTTTCTGAATCTGAAAAAAAATATAATTTGTTATTATTTATTTTATATTATTTAATAATGTGAATGCATATAAGCCGAGGCTCTTACACTGCCGCATCCGAGTCTTGATTTCTACTTGTCCCTTTCTCGTTAAATTCCAAATTTGGTGTCACCTTGAAGATACTTTAGTGGGAATGCCTTGCCATACTTTAATACATTAAACATCGTTTCGATCAAAGAAACACTGACAAATCTACTCATTTTTTTTTTTGAAAAAATTCACTCAAAATTAGAAAAACTTCAATTTTTTTAATTTCAATTTAATTTAATTTTTAATTTTAATTTCAATTTTAATTTTAATTTCAGTTTCAATTTCAATTTTAAATTCAGTTTCAATTTCAATTTTAATTTCAATGTCAAGATTAATCAGAGAAATGAAAATTAATTATTACAAAAAGAATTGAAATAAATTTAAATTAAAATAAGTGACAAAAAAAATTTATAAGTATTTTTCCTAAAAAGAAAAAAGGAACGTTTGCACAATTTGTCACTTGTTTCAAAATATAAACGATCGTAAAGGTGTTAATTGAGAGATGATTATAAATAATTAATCTTCTTTTATTTACTTCTTAAGTAATAAAAATATCAGTCAGACTAGATAAATTCGAATAGATATCTAAATTGTCATTATTTTACAATATTTTACAAAAGATTCTAATTATTTTTCTTGGGCGATTTTCTCTCTGATATTCTTCGCGAAGCACTTAATATTCCATAAATTAATATACGTGATATTTTTCATCCAAACTGTTTCTAAAAACAAAAAAAAATATTCCCATGTCATTTTTTAATCGTAAAATTTCGATTTTTAAATTAAAAAAAAAAATTCGAAACAATTTTTCTTACCGTACAAATCCAACATTGAAAAAACTGATAAAATAATTTTCTCTTTGGATTTCGCTAATTTGGCAACTTGAAGAAGTTGATCGAAATTTTTCCTTCCATTTCTTGAGATTGTATTTTTTTCACTGAGAAGATTATTGAATATTATCACATAACCGAGATTATTGTCTGGTTGAAAATTCATTGAGTAGAAAAAACGTGAGACTAGCTTTAGAAGGCCAACATTCATTTGTGAAAATAAACTATAACCAATGAAAACAAGATTATTTCCTTGTGCAATTTTCCCCAATGTTTCGTAAATATCATTTATTAATTGATAATTATTCTCCTCATTAATGTGTTTGAATTTTATGATAGTCGTTAATTCCTCATTGAAACGCATTCTATCTAAATATTTAATGACACTTTCTTCCGTCGTAAAATCACTGCAAATATTCATTATTTCCATGACCTCGAAACTTTGATTTAGTGTTTTTAAAATTTTCGTTGGCACAAATTTCGAACTTTGAATTCTACGATACGGCTTTCCAAAATTGATCCACAATTTATAGAATTGTTTAGTTTCCTAAAAAAAATAAGTAAATAAATAATTAAAGATATAGAATTTGAATATTCACTTGCGAGTATTTATAAGTATTTAAATTTAAACTCTCGCAAATGAATAAAAATTGAGAATATATTAAATTCAGGCATCACAGTAGCTTTTTTCCTCAAAAAAGGTGAAAAGGGGAATTTTTTCTTCAAAAAGGGGACAAAAATTTTTTCGTTTATACAACTTGCAAATATAATTCAAATTTTTTATCATATAGCTTCTATAAAATCTTTTAAAAACAATTCGATTTTAATCAGAGTTGCCACAAAAATTTTATTTTGTTTTTCCCTGACTTTTCTCTGATTTCCAGACAAAATTTTGACTTTTTCCCTAAAGAATATTCTACGATTCACTCTAAAAATGAAATGAAACAAAAATATTCATCATTTCGATTCAATTATTATTTTCTAGAATTTTTAACTAAAATTCTTCCTTAATTCTTGCGGAAAATTTTATGAAAATTTACAAAAATAATTAAATAATTTCGAGAAATTGTAGATTAATTGTAGTTAATTTTATACCAATTTTTTTTAAGTAATTGAATTCTTTTGGAAAAGTTTATAAAAAAATAGTAAACATTGAAAATCATTGAATTGAGAAAATTCTTGAAAATAATTGAATTTCGGAAAAAAATTCTATTATTTATAAAGATAATTGAAATTTTGACGATAATTTTTGAACATAATTGAATTTTTGCGAAGAATTTGATTAGTTTTGAAAATAATTGGATTTTTGAAATTATTTACAACTTCTCCAGTATTCAATTCTTTTTTAGTGTTTTTAACTAAAATTCTTCTATAAATCCATTATTTTTAATAATTAATAAAAGATGTATTAAAAAAATTAACTAATTTCAAAACAATTTTAGTTATTAAAATTTTTCAAAAATCTAAGTTCTTTAAAATTTCTAATTAAATTCATTAAAAATTGAAATTTTGATTAGAAAAAGATGAAAAGGGGGACAAATTACCAAAAAAAGGGGAAAAAGGTGACAAATCGTCAAAAGTGATAAAATTGAAATAAGGAGAAAACGGGACCAACTGTGATGTCTGTTAATTAGAAAAAAAACCCACACGTTCGAATCGATAATCTTTTTCCAACGTCTCGATGTTTTGGAGTAATTTTAATAAGACCTTTAAACGACAAACTGGTTCCAAATCGCTTATACTTCTTCTCTCATTGTACGAATCCAATGGACTTCTTGCGTCACAACAAAAATTGTTGTACGCCATTAATTTTGTTCTGCCGACAATTTCCGAATTTTTATTATGCAATTTTTTCAATTCATAAATATCAATGTATCGTTCGGCAATTGTTCTTTTTATTCTCTCTAAAATAACATCCTTGAAATTTTTGTCATAACTTTCAATATTCTCGAGAATAACTTTACATTGATGATTTTTGAAGAATTCGGCGCATTTAATGATTTCTTGAATGAAATTATCGGGAATATCCTCACGACAAAACATTGCTTTTGTTGAAATGTCATTGAATTTTTTATTAAATATTTCCCGATTTTTCATGAATTGAAAACTCTTGAAATTTAAACATATTACGTAGACTTCTGAATTTCCTTCTTTACTTGTCGCTGGTTTAAACATGTGAATCGATTCGAAACAACAGAATAATAAATAAAGAAGTGACACTGTTGTATGCTCGAAAATTGTGAACATTTTCAAAAGAAAACTACCGCCCTCGGATAAAATATTCAAAGCCGTTATTGTCTCGCAATGATGAAGTTGCGTTACTATTTGCTCCTGTTCGCCGGGATCATTTGAACAATCAACACTTCCATCCGCAGTCACAAGATAAACATCTTTCCTCCTACAATTCTCGATTATTTGCTCTCGATTCTCTTCTTCGACAATATTTCCCGTATTATAGGGACCAAACTCCCAATGTTCGAGTGTATGAATTATAAATCTATCGTCAGTTATCATTCGCTCGATGGAATTTCCCTCGTAGTATGGATTCAAAGTGGTTCCGATCCAATCCCATTTAATCAGAGGATGATGACTTTTTAGCCAATGATTTAGTGACGTGATAAAAGCACCTGGTGCCTCGCATAAATGAACGGAAGTAAAGGATTTGTTTGTAATTGCATTATTTGGTACGAGGGGGAAACGTGAGACAATTTCGTAGAATTTACACCAAGCTTGGGTGACAAATTCAGGTTCGATTCTTTTGTCAATGAAATAAATAACGGAACCTGCTTTATTTCTCTTACGCGTGTGCTCACTCCATTCATTGAGACGATAATTGTTTAATTTCGATTTTGTGTCGTTTAGAATTGATTTTATGTCGTATAATTCTTTTATGTGCCACGCGTCTTCTTTGAACATTGTATTTGAATTTGGTAGGCAACAATCTCCATTGTTTTCGAAAGAAAATATTTTGTTAAATGAAGCATTCACTGTATCTTCGATATATACTTCGTCTATAACATTAAATTTCTGGAACTGTCGATAATCATCCATTCTCGTGATTTCTCTCACTATTTAGTATTCTTGAAATTAAAATTATTTAATTAGTTATTTTCAACAATTTTCGAGACTAATTTCACTTTCCAGTCTATATTTATAATTATGTAATTAAATATATTAAAGATATGTTTTTTTTAATTCAAAAAAAATTTTGGGAAATTGAAAAATGTTTTTGTACTTTTATAAAATTATTTTAGAAAAAATATTTTTATTACAATCAAAACAATTATGTGGACGAAAGAAAGTTTTACAATACACTTTAAAAAAATACAACTTGAGCTAAATTTTGGATTTTTTTTTGATAAATAAAGATTATTTTTCTTTTGAGGTTAGGAATTGGCAGTGCGGCTGTCGGCGTTTAAAAAAATAATGAAATATTCTCACCTTTTCACTCCTACAATTAAATACGTTGTGCAACTATATACAAAGTGTATACAACAAAGTGTAATAAAAATAGGCTTCTTTTTATATTCGTAACATTTTTGAAAATGACATAACAAAACAATCAAAAACAATTTTTGACAAGTTGATTTCTTTCGAACACTGTGGAAATATACACGTGGCACCAGATTTCCTATTGGCTTGTGCAAAGATGGCCTCTGATTGGTCGATATTTTTCGGCGCTAATTTTTAAAATATTATTTAAAATTCAAGAATTTCTCGAAGTAAAAAACTATTCGCTAATAATAATAATAAAAAGAAATAAAATAATTAACATAAATTTTAAAAATACGGACGTAATTTCTTTTACATCCACGGTTGCCATCCTTTATAAGTGCGACCCAAAATATTAAAATCCGATGCCTGGTCAATTAAACACTGCACCTGAAATATTCATCAAATTGTTTTCATTAATTAAAAATTAAAATAACTGAAAAAATTAATTTTATTGATAGAAAATATTATTTTTTTTAATAAAAATGTAATAAAATAATAATACAATTTTAATAACATTTTACGAAAGAATTAAATTATTTAAAAAATTCTAATAAAATTTTAGGCAAAAATTTAATTATTTTTATAAACAATTTTCACAAATATTTTTACAAATTTCAAGAAAATTCTTCGCAAAAATTCAATTATTTTAAAAAATTTTAATGAAATTTTTTTTCGAAAAAAGTCAATTATTTTTAGGTTACTTTCAATTATTTTCAAGAATTTAATAGAAAATTCAATTATTTAAAAAAATTTTAATAAAATTCTTAATAAAAAATTCAATTATTTTAAAAAAAAATTTAATTGCAATTCTTAAAAAAAATTTAATTATTTTTAAACATTTTTTGATAAAAATTTAGGTTTAAATTCAATTATTTTTAAAAACTTTGATTCAATTCTTTTAACAAATTCAATTATTTTTAAATTAAATTCGATTATTTTCAAGATTAAATAAAAAATTCAATTATTTTAAAAAAAAATTTAATTGTAATTCTTAAAAAAATTTAATTATTTCTAAACATTTTTTGATAAAATTTAGGTTTAAATTCAATTATTTTTAAAAACTTTTATTCAATTCTTTTAACAAATTCAATTATTTGTAAAAATCCAATTATTTTTAAATTAAATTCAATTATTTTCAGGATTAAATAAAAAATTCAATTATTTTAAAACATTTTAATAAAATTGCTAATAAGAATTAAATTATTTTCAATAGAAATTTATTTAAAATTCTCAGAGCAATTGAATTAACTCTAAACATTTTTTCATAAAATTTTTCGTTCAAATTTAATTATTTTTAAAAACTGTTATTGAATTCTTTTAAAAAATTCAAGTATTTTGTGAATCGAAAAAATATTTTCATATTGAAATTGTTTTTGTAAATCCAAAAAATATTTTCTTAATGAAATATTAAAATTATTTTGATAAATTTTTTGCAAATTTAAAAAATATTTTAGATTTCAAAATAAAAATTTTCATTTTCAAAAGTTTACCTGTTCTTCAGCAGTGAGATTATCATTTTTAATTTTGGCTCGAAGCGTTTTGTGATCTTCCTCGGTTCCATTAACAATATCCAAATATCGCCAATAATATTTTTTATCTCCATGAACTAATTTTAATTCCTCTAAAGTTATGAGTGAGGGTTTTTTTCCATCCAATTTTTGCGCAACTGTAGCCACTCTCTTTATTGGTAACCAATTCACATCTGTAAAAAGAAAAAAAATTATATACCTTTAATTTAATTTCCTATTTTTTTTTTAAATTATTTATTTTTTTTCATTTGTTTTTTAATTGTATATTCAATTTTCAATTTTTTAAATTACGTATTTAATTTCAAATTTCTTTAATTTTATATATATTAAATAAAAGAATAAAAAATACCTTCGGATTCTTCTTGATTTTCTTTCGAGAATTGATGAATATTTTCCAACCAGTTCAAAGGCTCGTTGATAAATACATCGAGACATGCCATCAATGGTCCCTTCTCCCTTCGCAATGCCTTTAAAACAAAAACCATTGTCGCCTCAAATGGACCATTTTCGGCGAATGGTTTAAATAAGCTTAGAATTTGTGGTGTCAATCGAAATGGCATCATTTCGGGAATACTAATATCGACACCAGCACCAAAAGCATAGCCAAAATCAATGCCAAGACATCTTCCTGATTTCACTGAAATGAGAATATTTTCCAAATGACGATCTCCAATTCCCATTATCCATTGTGCTGTGCACATTGTCCCGTAGGTGGCAATAAAATTATTACGAAGTGAGAGAAAACTTTCAAACGATGGACTCAGTGTGAAAAATGTTTTTCTCAATGCATCGCCATTTATTGATTTAACGAGTTCTTTCATTTTTGCAACAACTGCTTTTGCATTGTACTTGATCAATGATTCCTTATAGGCCAAACTCCTTCCTGACGATGCTTTTCTTATCCATTCGTCGTATTTTTCGATATTTAACGAACATTGATTTGTTTCTTCACACGTGAGTGTGAAATCAATGAAATCGTCGAGGGTTTTCATTTCGTCGATCCACACTATTAGTCCCAAACTCAACGAGAAGGGAATTACCTGAAAAAATAATTGGGAAATTTTATTATTTGAAATAACAATTTATTTCATAATTAAATTAATTATAGGTAATAAAATTGATAATTGAATAATAATTAATAATTTTAATAATTATCGAATTAACTAGCAAATATAACTAGGAAATTCAATTCTTATTTCCTATTCTTTCTTATTTTAAAACATCAAGTTCAATTTTCGATTAATTTCAGATTCAAAATTGAAAAAAAATTCAATTAAATTAAATAAATAATTTTCGATGTCACTCACTTGATAAGTATCAATCGTTAAATGTCGCTGCGCACAAGAAATATCATTTTGTAATATTTTATTCATAATATCAAATGCCTGTTGAATTCGTTGATCGTTTCTCAAATCCTCTCCAAATTTCACCAGAAAATTATAATTCTTCGCATCATTCCCAACGATCGTCAATTTAATTGGTTTTCTTATTGATCGATGAATAACGTAAATATAGGATTCAATTTTTCCAATTTTCGCATGATATCTAGGCAATGGTTTCCGATTACTCAAATACTGACCAGGTACTTCAATCTCCAATGCTCTTAATTTTTGCAACCACGGACTATAATCTTTCAGTTTCGATTGAAAAATACTCTTATTTTCAACTCTCTCGTTTAAACTCTTTTTCAAAATGCCAATAATTTTTTTTATTGTCACCTTCAATTCCGTCTGAGACTTCTCATTCAAATTTTCTATCTCACTCTTGAAATTCTCAATTTTTTTCGACACTTGCCTGAAAAGTGCACCACAGTACAATAATTCGGAATGTTTCTCAGGAAACAGTTTTTCTAAAATTTCCCCTTTTCCCACTGATTTTCCCTGTTGGATTCTCTTCAAAATTTCCGTGAGATGATAAATTTGGTATAATTCCGGTTGTGCGACGTAGTGCATTGCTGTTAAAAATCCCTCAACACCGGGTTTACTGTACAATTTTTCCTTTATTGCCAATATTCTTGTGTTAGTCAATAAATCCCGATTTGATTCAATTGTCAGCCGGAAATTGAACATCACTGCATTGGGATAGTCTTGAACTAAACGATCGACGATGGGAATTAAAATTTCCGCGAATGGACCACCCAAGTGGGAGAATATCTGCGATTGCCAAGTGATAAATAACCAGGTTTCTATTTTTTCGCACTCTTGAGTGAATATTTTTTTCGTCGACTCGTCTTGAAGGTATTCCGATTTTAGAAGGCAGGGAAAATAGTGAGCGGCTTTGGAAGAACCGTGAATCATTGCTTTTAGCGTGGCGCTGAAAAATTCACGAATTTCTTCGTTGCTTCCTCCGAGTGACAGTCGATTGTAACAGTGTGTCACTAATTTGAAATAACACTCGGCTTTGTCGCTCATTTCGGCAATTTTGCAACTTTCCTTCAGTGTCGATAATCCGTATCTGATTATATTTGTCCTCAAACTTTGGATATCAGTCGCTCGTTCTTTGAATTTTGAGGAAAAATCAATAGAGAGAATTTTTTCCACAAGATTTTCGTTGAGAATATTTTCCAAAAGTAGTGTTAAAGTTGTCACGTGCTGCAAGGCGGGAATTTTTTGCGACAATTCGGATTCATTTGATTCGAGATAATTGTGAACGTACTTCCACGATTTGGAAATGTGGGAGAGTTTTTTCGACATATCGTTCGTGAATTCGCCCATTAGGTGAAAACATTTTGATGTCGATAATTTGAACTCCAATTTTTTCAAACCTGACGATTTGATTGTTTCCTCTAAATCAATGACGTACTTTTTGGCTATGAAATTATTACGTCTCTCGATGGCAAAATCGAGAAAATTCATCTTTTGCTGAATGTCGTTAGATTTTATTTCTTCTAGAATACTTTCGTTTTCTTCGCTCTCGAATTTATTCATTAAAATAGTCGCAAAGTGCATTCGATAATTCATGTGAGTCTCCCAAAGGAGAAGATCGTCATTCGACGATGGTAAATGTTGATTCCATTCCTTCAATAAATCTTGAACTGCTTGCGTTAAATTGGCGGATTTTAGTGTTTTGAAAAATAATTGAATGCTACTGATTCCACGTAATTTTCGAAGGAGACGCGAACGAAGTTTCTCTGAAAGTGGATTTAGTCGGAGCCAATTTTCTCGAGCGTCGTCGAGACTTGATTTTAGATAGTCGCGAGCTATTTCGAGTCTCTCGTTCTCTGGGATCATGTAAATATTCGCCATTTCCTCGCCGAAACGTTGCTTTATTTTGGGTAATTTTTCACCTCTTATCCAATCGTCAATGCAACCTAAGAAATGCAATAATCTGTCGGTGTCACGATTTTTTGTGAGATCGCCTTTGAGAATTTTATGTAAATGGACACGGAAAATCCATGGAAGGAGCCATTCCTCTTGCTCGGTATCATTCCAGACGTTATTGAAATTTTCTCCCGATGCTTGATGTACTTTTTTGTCGAGTATGTCCCAACGGGAAAGATGACATAAACACTCGAATGATTCCTGAAGACAGTGTTCTTTGACAAAATTATTTTCAATTTCGTAAGCTTCCTCGTATGATTTTCTTGCTCTCGTGAAATCGCCCGAACTCTGCGCCAGCGAAGCTTCCTGAAAAAGTTTAATTCAATTACTTTCAAATATGAAATTATTCCCTGGAATTTAATTTAAAAAAAAAATTCTCATGTATTGGATTATTTTTAAAAAATTCTTCGCATAAATTAAATTATAACCAAAAACTTTTATTAAATATCAGGAAACAATTAAATTATCTTCAATATAATTGAAATAAAAATTCTTCGCAAGAATTCAATTATTTTTATAAATAAAAAAAATTCTTCTCAGGAAATCAAGTAGTTTCAAAATTTTTTAATAATAAAATTCAATTATTCTCAAGAAATTCAATAAAAAATGAATTATATTGAAAAATGTTAATAAAATCCATTAAAAGAATTCAATTATTTTCAAAAATGAAATTATTCACTGGAATTTAATTATTTAACAAAAAAAAATTTATTCTGATGAATTCAATTATTTTTAAGAAATTCTTCACATAAATTCAATAATATCAAAAAAATTTTATTAAATATTAGGAAATAAATAAATTATTTTCAATAAAATTGTAATAAAAATTTTCGTAAGAATTCAATTATTTTTATAAATTAAAAAAATTCTTTTTAGGAATTGAATTACTTTCAAAATACATATAACAAAATTCTTCGCATAAATCTAATTATTTAAAAAATTTTTTTAATAAAATTCAATTATTTACATAAAATTTAATAAAAATTCAATTATTTTGAAAAATATTAATAAAATCCATTGAAAGAATTCAATTATTTTCAAGTAAGAAATTACCATTGACCGGAATTTAATTATTTTTATTTAAAAAAAAAAAAAGTTCGTCTCATAAATTTAATTATTTAAAAAAAAATTAGTAATAAAAATTCAATTATTTTTAAAAATTTTTATGAGATTCTTAAAATCAATTATTCAAGTCTTTTCAGTACAATGTTAATAAAAATACATACAAATTTAATGATTTTTAAACATTTTAATAAAATTTTTCGTTGAAACTAAATTTTTTTCAAAAACTAAAATATAATTCTTTCAAAAAATTCAATTATTTTCAAACATTTTGATAAAATCATTTACGAGAATTCAATTATTTCCATAAAAATAAAATTCTTGGCTGGAATTAAATTATTAGCAATACAAATTTAATAAACTTTCTCGAAAGCTTTCAATTATTTTTAATTAAAATCAATTATTTTTAAGACTAAAAAAATATTAATTAGGTATTAAAAAAATTTTGATAAAATTCTTAATAGAAAATTAATTATTTTCAAAACAGTTTTAATTAAAATTTTTAAAACAATTTAATTATTCTGTAAATTCTTCATAAAAATTAAATTATTTCAATAAAGAATAAAATTTTTCGCTGAAATTCAATTATTTTCAGTACGATTTTTAAAAAAATCCATTCTAATTATATTAAAAAATTTTTATTAAATTTTTGGAAAGAATTAAATTATTTTTAATACAATTGAAATAATAATTTTCGCAAAAATTCAATTCTTTTTATAAGAAATAAAATTCTTTGAAATAGTTCAATTAATTAAAAAAATTTTGTTAAAATTTGTTTATAAAAATTCAGTTATTTTCAATTCAAATTGAATTTAATAATTAATTTTCTCGAAAGAATTTAATTATTTTTAAAAATTTTAATAAAATTCTTCGAAAGAATACAATTATTTTCAAAAATTTTAATGAAATTCTTCGAAAGAATTCAATTATTTCCAACACCATTTTAATTAAATTTCTCGAAAGAATTTATTATTTTCAAATATGAGAATAAAAATCTTCGCTGAAATTCAATATTTAAAATTGAATAAAAAAAAAAAATGTAGAAACAAAAAAAGAAATTTTTGAAAATTACCTGAAGTTTCCCACTGAACAGTTCACTCTTGAAAATACTCAAAACAATATCAGGTTCATTCATCGATTTGTAAATTCTAGCGAGATAAATTGAAGGTTCACAATTTAAATTCTCATCATCATTTCTCCGTCTTTTTTCCGGAGGTTCTAAAACATCATCAGGACCATGAATCATATAATTTTCCAAATATAGAGCACCAAGGGAATAAAGACCACTGACTTTTGTCGCTCGACCAACCAAATCCGGCTCATAACAACAAACTTTTTTCGCCAAAGTTATTTCCAAAACTGCCGCAAGTGTCCAAGTTGAACCACGATTTTCCAAAATTCTCCTCATACCACTGAAAATTTGTGACATTGTTTGCTCATTCCTAGGCCTCGTTGTGCTCAAATCACTCAACAACGAACAAATAATGCTCACAACAAGATTTTTACAAATCAAAGAATCCTTCTTCGCCAATTCCTGTAGGGGAATCAATAAACTCGAATGGGGAATTTGAATATCAGGAAAATCGCCGTAACGATATTTTCTATAAAGTTTCACAACGTTCGTTTGTCTCACAACTTCTTCCCTCACCATTTCGTCATGTTGTCGATAAGTTTTAACGAAGTGCTGCAAAAATTCACTCGTCTCCCCACCTCGACCAAGAAATCGTTTCGATTTTTTATTGAAAGCAGGGTCTGGAATTTTAAACACCGAATCTGAATTTTCGGACAGTGTTCTAGATGTCGAAGCATCCTGAGCAGTTGGTAGAAAATTTGGATCAATTGTGGCTCTTAATAATTGTCCCCTGAGCGATGAGGCGAAAGTCGAAGACTGAGTGAAGGTCTTCGAGACCATTTGTGACATTTGACTGGCAAGTGATTTTGCAAACAGCGGTGCAATCGAACCCAAATTTTTCGCTCTCCAATTCAGCATTATCTCGTAGTCAACAAATGAGCATTCCTCTAATTTTTCATTGAATATATTCTCATAGTATTCTTTCGATTTGTTCGTGAGTCGTAGAATCGAGAGGCAGAAATAGAGAAGATAGACTTGTTCCACTTCCGGTTTGTACTGCTGCAGGATTTTTAATAAACGTTCCACTAATTTCTCCGGTTGGGAAACAATCTCAGTCCAGTAGTTTATTAATTTTTCGTACAAATTCTCGGCGGTGTCCAATAATCCAAGGAGGAGAATTTCTTCACTCATGTCGCGTAATTTATTCTCGTCGAATTCAATTGTATGGTATGTTCCATATTTATTCTTGATTTTTATAAAAATATCATAGGCTTTTTCTCGTAATTCAGAGGATTCGTTTTTCAAATAGGGAATTGATAACTCTGCTAAGGGAAGCATATCGCCCGCGTCGAAGATTGGGACTAATTTGTCGATTATATCGAGACCGATGGTTTCACAAGTGAGAATTTTGTTCTTTAGTAAATTCTCAAAGTTCAAGTAACCTAATTCCTTTTTTATTTCCTCGGTGGTTAGGGACGGAATTCTCGAGCTGAATATCTCGAGGCACTTGGCTTTTCCCAAATTGTCCACCTCGCCAATGTAGTTGCGAACAAATTCGAAAAAATTCTCAATCCATGGGGGATAACTCACAACCAGAGTGTGGATACACTTAATCAATCGACTCTTATCAGCCACTTGCATTTTCCGAAAAACGGTGGATAACGTTTCGTTTATTTTCAATCTCAATGAGTCATTATCCGAATATTTTGCTATCAAACCCAAAGCGGTGCAATTATGCAAAACGACATCCTCCTCTCGTTTCCAATCGTCGAACGATTTTTGGACAAAATCCACTAGATCTGCATTCCCCACCAGATTTTGTAACTTATTGTCGAGGAAGACGAAAATTAGTTGAATCGCAAATTCTGGGGCTGTTTTCATTTTTTCGTTGATTGCCTCCGGGAGTTTTAGCTGATCGCCCCAATTTTGGAGAATCATTTTTATTAGTTCGATATTATAGGCACGAACGCTGCGGTTTTGGATTACATCCGCTTTGGTGATTAAATGCTCCAAGAGATTTTGTGCCTGATCGGTGTATTTTTCGGAAAGTTTCACTTGCCAATCGATGAGGAGAAGAAGAACGTCGGTGATTATATAGTTGAGAAAATTTGACTTTAGATATTCGTTGACAACGTTGAGAATAATACCCAAAAAATTAGACATGTAGGGTTTGAAGATATCTTGGGTATTGCAGATAACTTTCAGCAGAAATAATCGAACGTTATCGTAGTTCGTATTCAGGGATCGGAAAAAATTCCCCATCCACTTGGGATGATTCTCCGTCGTGCCCTCTTGGGGAACAAAGATATCATTCCGAACCATGTGGATCAAAATTCCAGACAAAGAAGCCATACACTCGTGTTCGTTAAAATCGTCACATTCGAAAGTCAAACTCATTGTTTGATCTTCTTGATTCTTCGTCAAAAGTGTCGCTTCATTAAAATCGTACGAATCCATATTTTCCACCAGAGTCGACGAAGCGATATTGTACCTAAAAATAAAGTTCTCGGATTGTTCAGAAATAGATTTATCCCTTTTTTTAATATTGATTAACTTCTTTTTCTGCTTTGGGTATTCTTTAAATGTTTGTCGAAGTGAATATTTCTTTTCCCGATCGATAATATTCTCCCAAATTAAACTCCCTTCTTGCTTATTTTCCGTGAAGGTCCAGGAATAAAATTTCTCCTCTTCCTTCAGACTTATTATGGAAATATGACAATTATAAGCGGCGCAGTGAAGTAATCTCGTAATTTCTCTGATATTCTCGTGTAAACATTTTGTTTTTCGTTCCGCTAGGGTTTGTTTCAATAATTTCACCATCAGCTCCTTTTCGCTGGGTTTTTCGAAAATATTCCTCGCAATTCGACTCTCGGTGCTTGTGATTTTCTCCAAATCAACTCTGGCGAACATTATTTCAAAAAGATTGTAGGCTCCTATTTTTGACACGATCTGTCGTCTCAAATCCTCCTCAGCGTCGCCTTTGAGTTCAATTAATAGACTCGAGTAAATATCCTTGGCATTTTTCACAAAAAAATTTTCTATGGCACCAGATTTGGAAAATTGAAACGAAGGCAGGAGAAATCGGCGTAAAATATCAAACCTGACGGTTAATACTCCGGAATTCATGAATAATTTATAGGCAATATTGAGTGATGTTAGAACATTTTCCTCTATTTGTTGAAAATAGTTTTCGATAACACTGGACGTTTTTTCGTTATACAATCGCTCGCAATATCCTGCGGCAAAATTAATTATCGCCTCGTAAAGAACAGTCGATTTCGTCAATGGTAAATGTGAAAGCATTGTTTGAAAACAAGCAGCGACTTTCAAAGAATTAATATTATTCTCATCAACATTAAGTCTATCATTTTTCAAATATCCCAAAATTAACGAAACTTCCGTACTATTATTATTCATGTCAGTCAGACAAATTAAAAAATCATCCAAAATTGACGCCTTCTTTTCCAAATCAATATTCTCTTGGAGTTTGTTCAAAATCCATAAATAGAGGTCGTGCTTTTTATTTGTAATTTCAAGTGGATTTCGCTTAAGGCGAACGACTGTTCGATAAATGTTCATAAATCCCCTCTCTCGATGTTCAACATTCGAGACTATTCTCTTCAATACAGGGAATATTTTCAAAAGTTCATTCGCTAGTCCCTCAGACTCAAGGGCGTAATTTTTTTTCCACTTGTGGGTAAATATGACTAATTCCTCAAGTATCATTAACAATTTATCCGGATTTTTTTCCAGGGAATTCTCCATTATTTTCATCGTTTCTTGAATATTTTTCAGCATTCCGTCGAATAGGGGAGTTTTGAATACACTCAAAAAATAATCTCCATGTTTCAAAATTGTCATGTCTTGATTAATTAGTTGATTTCCGTTCACTAGGAGATTAATCAAGAATTCTATTAAATCGGATTCATAATTTACGAGGACGAGTTTTAGAATAGTTGATAAATATTCTATTGTATCGAGTTTTAAGAGAACGGCACTTTTTTTATTTTCCTCAAATTGTGAACTTCCTTCGGAATCTCGTTGAAGAAGGTCGAAAATATCTTGTAGGAATTTTTTCTTCGCTTGATGGAACTCTTCCTTTAGAATTAAATCCAAATATTTTTGGTTCTCCAATAAAATCATTCCTTTCACATTGAATTTCAATTCGACTTCTATTTTCATGTCAATATAAATGATTGTGATATTTTGATAGTATTTTTTAACGTATCTCGAGAGTTGTATTAGAAAATTTTCCAAAAGCGCTTCGGGAGATTTATTTTTCAAGACAACTAGTAATTCATCCAATTTGCCTGGTAGTGATTCCATTATTTCCAAATTTTTTGTATCGAATCCCATTTCCTGGGGATTTAGGACACAAATTGATATTAGGGAAAATAGATCTTGACTCCAAAAATCCGGGAATGAAATTGAAATCTAAAAAAGGAAAAAATTAAATTAATGATTAAATAAACTTGAATTTATTTATTTATTATTAACTAATTTACTATTATTCATTGTTATAAAAAATTTTAATAAAATTTTTCACAAGGAATTCAATTATTTTTAAAATATTAATAAAATTCTTTGCAAGAATTTAATTATTTCAGATTTCAAAATTATATAAAAAATTTAAATTTAAACTATTTTTATATTTTAGAATATTAAATTAATATTATTAATAATTATTAATATAGATTGAATTTCGAAAAATTTAATTAAAAATTCTGAATTAATTAATTTTTTGAAACATATTTAAAATTTTTAAATTATTCAAATTTAGTTAAATTGTTTTGTAATTGGATTTTAAAATTATTATAGTTTTAGGTGAACTTGTTTTTAAATAATTGAATTTTTTAAAGAACTTTCTCCAAAAAATATTTAAAATAATTGAATTAGATAAGAATTCCAGTTAAAAATTTCTCGAAAATAATTAAATTGAAATCTTGAAAATAATTTTGGAAAAGTTACAGTAGCAACTCTGAAGAATTAAATAATTAAAATTATCAAATTTAAAAATACTTACGCTTGCATTGAGAATCTTGTGACAAAATGAAAACAGGGTTTCAATCGTTTCACAGGTGAGAGTTTCTAATAATTCCAATTCCTTCGAAATAAATAGAGAATTCTCTTCGGTTTCCATTCGATTCATAAAACACTTGATGAAATTATTCATATAAGAGAAAATTAAATCCTTCTCAGGATTTCCTTCGTTGAATAATAAATTGAAGTCGATTAGTTTCTTTTTCACAAACCAAATATAACAATCCAAAGTTCGAAGCAGTGGTTTCACAGATTCCAAGGAAATTTCTGAGATATTCTCCCTCAATTTATCCAAAAATATAGAATTAAAACTTTCAATTCCTTTTGTTTTCACATAAAAAGACACTAAATTCTCTCCTTTCAAATCATCGACAAATGGTTGAAGATTCTCGAATAATTTCATACAACTCTTCCGATAACTTCGATCCAAAGATCCACATTGCTCCAAAAGCCAAATTAAACTACTCTTCAAATTTCCACTTTCAAATTCAATAGGTTTTCTTCTCTTGGAATTTTTTGCATTAAAAAGTTTCGCCTTAATTTTCAATACTTTCTCAAGATGACCAATTGCACTAGTAATTCCCAAATTGTCACAACCTTCGGAACTCTTAACAATTGAGTAGAAAATTTCCAACCAATAGACATTCAAAATTTCCTCCCTTTCACGTAGACTTGAATAAAGATGATTGAATGCAATCGCAGCCGCAATTCTCCTTTGTTGCGAAGGATGTTGAGCGTAGGTACAAATTTTTCTCACAATCGTATGAATATTAATCGCCGAATTCGACAATTCTCTGTCGGACGATTGCTTAATGGACCAATCGACAAATTCCTTTAAACACAATCCGGAAAAATCTCTCAGCGATGAATTTGATTCATCAGTTAGACCGTCGAAGAGTGAATCGACAAAATAAATAGTCGACAGCGATTTTAACATTAATTTCGAACTCAACCAGTGTGATAATTGCAATAATGTCGGACAATACAATTGTCTCACAACTAAATCCGTATCAGAGCCCAATTTTAACATTGCCGGACAGAGAATTTTGTATAAATTTGCAAATCGATCGGGATTTGGTCTATTGATGATGTCTCTCGTTTTACCGAGAATAATCACAATTATCGAATGAAGTACTTCACAGGCACATATTCTTGTCCTTCGATCGCCGGAGCTTAGCGATAATTCAATGACTCTTGGTAGAAGTCTATCGAAATGGATATAAAGTCTTCGGTCTGGAAAGAAGAGAGTGTATTCCAATAGATCCTTCTTATCCCACGTTGCTTTTGTATTTTGCGAACTTTTGTAAATAAAATTCTCCGTTATCTCCGAGGAAAGTGAGCCTAGAAATAGGAGAATTCTCCTTTGAAATTCTTCCAGAGTTTTTGTCTCGTCTTTCAATTGAACGTGACTGATATTTTTACGCTGTGTTTTTAAAATATCTTGCAATAATTCCGTTTCACTTTCTTTACTCTGTAAATATGGTTCTAGACAAGGGACTATTTCTTGCAGAAATTCCTTTAATTCAAACGAATGAGTTTCGGCTAATTCCCTTGTCCATTGTTCTAGTGCATCGAGCGCACAAGCAGCCAATGAGAAATCACTCAGACCAGAAGTTAGGGCAATTTTAAAAACGGGAATTGTTTCTTTTAATTTGTCCTCCACTAGATTTAGCGGCGCATCGAGAATTAAATAAACGCACGCTATTTGCAATTCGTGATAGAAACCACAAATTAAATCTAAAGTATTTGATAAAAATTTGGACATTAATTTGAAGGTTTCATTTGTTTCGTCCAATGATTTCCAGTATGTTTTCGATTTTCGAAGAATTGTGTGGGCTAATTTGTAAAAGCCGGAGACCATTGGATGTTTGTAGGAATTTTTCACAATTTCGTACAGGAGTTTTGGTAGCCAATCGTTGATTTGGGAGGAATCGAGTTTTTCGAAGAGTTCCTTGTTTAAATCGACCATGTTGACGAAAATTCGAAAATCAGTTTCATTTTCTGCTGTCATCGATAGGGATATGTCGGAAAACATTGTTTCGTTATTTGATTGAACTTGAAGATTCAAAGTGTTGATTAACGAAATGCAGGTTGAAAAGAGTTCTTTAGATAAATGTTTTATCACTTGTGGTCCTGTTTCAATTCGATAATATTGTAAATTAAATAATTCTTCCCAAAGTGGCAGATAATTTTTGTAACAAATTGGTCTCTCTTTCATAGTACTGCGCGCTAACTCTGCATCAATGTATAAAGTGTTCGAACACGTCCATATTATTCCGTTGTAAACTGAAAAAAAGCGAAAAATTAATCTCCAGTTTTTTTCTTTAAATATTAATTTAATAATTAATTTAATAAAAAAATTTTGTACTTAAATTAAAAAAGTGATTTAAGTATACATTATTTTAAAAGTAAATATTAATTTATTAATTTAAACACTAATTCTTTAAGTTAGGGACCATTCAAGTATTACGTAAGCATTTAAGGGGGAGAGGGGGGGTCTAGCTATTGCTTATTTCCATTAGAAAAAATGTCGCTAATGCATATAAAAAATCTTACATGGAGGAGGGGGGGGGGGTCTAAAAACCTGAAAAATATGCTTACGTAATACTTGAATGGCCCATAGTACTACTAGTTGTGCGGGGAATAGAAATTTTAAAAACTGTGAACAGTGTACAATGAAGAATAAATCTAATCTAATCGAAATCTAATCACTAATTCTTTAATTGGACTAATAATTTATCAACTAAATGTTACGTATTCTTTGCAGGAGAATTGAAATATTTCCAATATAATTTTAATTAAATTACTCATAAAAAATTCAATTATTTTCCAAAATTTTAATAAAATTCTTAGATTGTGAGAATTGAATTATTTTCTTATTTAATAAAATTCTCTGCATAAAATTGATTATTTTAAAGAATTTAAATAAAATTCGTCGAAAAATTTTTATTACTTATTTTGAAAAATTTCTAATTCAATTATTTAGAAAAAATGTGATTAAATTCTTTATGAGAATTGAAATATTTTTAATACAATTTTAATTAAAATTCTTCGCAGTAATGTTATTATTTTGAAAATTTCAATAAAATTCTGTATAAGGAAAAAATTTAATTGAATATTTTGAAAATTTGTTATTCTTTTTCAAAACAATAAAATTCTTACCGAGATTTTAATTATTTTCTTAATTAATAACATTTCTCAAAAGAATTCGACTACCTAATTAATAAAAAATATATGAAAAAAATTTCTCGAAAGAATTAAATTATTTAAAAAAATGTTAATTATAACATTTTTCGCAGAAATTCAATTATTTTTTTTTAAATTTTTGATAAAACTCTTTATATTTACCTAGATCATAGAAATACTCCTGTTGAAGATTTTGATTAAGATATCCAACATTAGTGATCGATTTAATGAGAGCTTTTGTTGCACTTGGCTGGACAAATATTCTTAATTCAGGAAATCGCTTAATCAGAAGTATCGCAAGCTTTGACAGTAATTTTATTTGATTGACCGACACATTCGGTAGGTGAACTAAAATTTCCGAAATTGATTCCACATAACTGTAGATTTCCTCAATTTTCGCGTCGTCACTAAAAATAATACAATTTTTAGTTAAATGGTTAAAATTCTGTTTTTTTTCTTTCTTTTTATTTTAGTACTTTGTACAAAAGGACGAATTTATTTTTTTAAGCCCGTTGAAACTTAAATAAAAAAATAATAAGACACATGAAATAAATAAAAGAAAATACATGGAATAAATAAAATAAAGAAAGAATAAAGAATAAAATATTTATTTTATTATTTAGCAAAAATATTCTGCTAAATAAAAAAAATAAAGAATAAAATAAAGAAAAAAATAAAAAAAATAAATAAAAAAATGAACTAAAATCTATATTAATAAGAATAATTAAAAATAAATATTTACCTCATATAGAGTGAAATAGATCTCCTGGATATAAAAGAATACATATCATAAATTTCGTTAGTAGTTAAATGCTTTTTGCAAGGTGCAGCCATTTGACTATAAGCCCAAACAATCAGTTGCAATAGACTTGAATCCAAATCGAGTCTTGTAAGATAATTCAAAAAATATTCCCGAAAATACTGAAAAGTAAAATGAAAATTATGAATACAAGGAAAAGTAAATAATAAAAAGTAGAAAATATTATTTAAATAAAAATTAAAAAATATTCGAATAGAAAGTGAAAAATATATTTAAATAAAAAACAGAAGAAATATTATTCAATATTGTGGATTAATTCAATAGAGACACTTACCAAAAGAACATTTCTCTCTTCATTCGTATCGCTGTCTCTCAACAATTGTGCAATCGCTTTATAAAATGCTTTCATAGCACGCCAGCCAAGTTCACCAGTTTTTCCATTTTGCTTCAATAAATATTCAAATTTCATTTGCCAAAATTTATAATCCTTATAAATCATTGTACCAAAAAATGGCCAATGTCTTATTAACAATTCAACGGCTGATTTTGTATTATTATTTGCGGCTTTCTTCTTCTCGTGATATTTAACTCCATGATCACGCTTGCCGGGATTTAATTCATATGTTTCCTCGTCAAATTTACAAATATCTTTGATAAACTTATAAATTTCTTGATAATAGAGATTATTTTTCTCTTCACTCTGATATGGAGTGAAACACTCCATTAAATCTCTTAAGGCTTCAAAATATTCTTGAAATCTCGCCGATTGTGTCATTCCGATGTCTTTGAACTAAATTAAAATTAAATTAATTATTAATTTATTTATTAAAATTAAATTATTTATATCTTATATATATATTTTTTCATAATAGTTTTATTTTAATTTTAAAATTAATTCCTTCGAAGAATTTTATTAGACAATTACTAGTACAAATACTAATAATTTAATTTAATTCGTACCTGAACTTTCATATCCTCCAAAATTGATTTAAAAATCGCATTAGAAAATCTCTCTACATCCGAAGAATTATGTTTGGCTATTGCTGCCATTATAATAAAAATCTCACTTCGTTCTGAAATTTTAATTAAATTTAATTTTAATTTTAATTAAGTTTTTATTTACTTAATGGAAATTTAAACAAATTGTTGCCTACCTTTCTCGTCGTAACGATGCAATGTTTTGCCAAATTTCTCTACAGTTTCACTGAGAAGTAATTCAAAATCCGTAAATAGTTGAACGATTTTTTTGAAGAGAGATGTAGCTGCTCTTTTAATATAATGTGTACATCTTATTTTAATAGTAAATTCACAAAGTTCCTGAAAATTAGTTTTCAATTAAATCATTAATTAATTCATTTAATTTCATTAAATTCATCATTTACTATTGAATATTGCGAAATTAATTTGTAGTATTATATTTTATATGATTATAAATTGAATTACAAAATTAATTTATAGTATTATAGGTATTTTATATAATTACCTACAAATTTAAAATTAAAAAATTGAAATTATATTTTTCTTTATTTATATTTAGTTGCGAAATTAGTACCTTTGTTTCTATTATATACGGCTCGTATTCATTTTGAAATTGCTCCATGACAAATTCAACTAAACGAAAACCCTGGATAATTACGGTTTCATAAATTTTTAATTTAACACCTTTGTCCAATTCATCTCGAAGGAAACGAAGAATACCATTGTCGACATCTAAAAGAGTTGCCAGTACGTATCCTAAAAAATACAGAACAGAGAAATATTAAAATTCTAAAAAACAATTTCAATCATTTCAAATAGACGAAATTCTCAAAGTTGTAAATTTAACGAAAGAATTTTAAAACAAAGGCAAAAGGTCTAAAAAGTAATTCTTTCAATAATAGTAATAATAATAATAGTTACAATAACAACAATAGTTAATTATTATTAACTATTATTTGAAAATTGGTTATGTTTACTAACCGCTCTCACTGCCGGAAATATTTTGAAAATACTTGCGACTGTCTTTAAAAATATCGACAAGTCCTGCACCATTTCTTTCTCTTTTGCATCTTTCGAAGATGCTGAAGAAAGTTTGAAAATCCATTGTTAGTTAATAATTTTTATAACGCGCACGTAATCATATTGTTTTTGTTATTAAATTTCTGCGGTTGAAAACTGACTGATCGACGATGACGACACGCGCGCAAAGAGTCATCAGAATTAGAACGAACATAACCAAACATTCAAACAAAACTGACAATTGAGCGTGCTCGTGAGTTTGCAGATTTGAGTTGTCACCCCCATTTAAAGGGATGCGATTATCCTTTCTATTTTCAACCCGTAGTTCAGTGTTTGTTTAATTCTCCCATTAAGTAAATCAACTATTATTTAAGCAAGTAAGTATTCTTTGAAATATTTCTGAATATTCAAAAATACAGGTGTATTTGCTAAATCATATTAAAAACATAACCTAAAAGAATGTATTTACTTTAAGTTTGTCGAATTTAATCAATTTAATGAATAAAGATATTTTGAATTATTTCGTTCTTTTTAAAACTGTTTTTTAATTATCTTTGCTTTCGAAATAGATTTTTAATCAGGATGGATCGTCTTTTGAGGCTAGGAGGTGGAATGCCAGGTTTAAATCAAGGGCCACCACCTTCTGATGCTCCGGTCGTTGATACCGCCGAACAGGTGACGTTTAATTAATTTTTACTTTGGTGGAATATTTTCTAGATGACTAAATAATATTGTTGTCTATTTCAGGTGTATATTTCCTCGTTAGCATTGTTGAAAATGTTGAAACATGGACGAGCTGGAGTTCCAATGGAAGTCATGGGTTTGATGCTCGGGGAATTCGTTGACGATTATACTGTTCGGGTTATTGACGTTTTTGCCATGCCACAAACTGGAACTGTATGTTTTGCAAAAGAATTTTTTTCGAATTATCTTAATTTAGAAGAAGTACAATATTTTATTGTATTTTTTAATATTTTTCTTTGTATTTTTATTTTTTTCAAAATTATTTCCATCATTTCATTTCAATTATGTTTTTCTACAATTTTTAACTAAAATTCTTCTTTAAATCAATTATTTTAAAAAAAATTTTTCAGAATTTTCAAATCTATGTATGATAATATTTAGTACTTTTATTTAATGTTCGATGATTTGATGTTATTAAATTTTACCAGGGCGTCAGTGTAGAAGCAGTTGATCCAGTATTCCAGGCGAAAATGTTGGACATGTTGAAGCAAACAGGACGACCTGAAATGGTGGTAGGATGGTACCACTCTCATCCTGGTTTTGGATGTTGGCTCTCGGGTGTCGATATCAATACGCAACAATCATTTGAAGCACTCAGTGAACGTGCAGTTGCAGTTGTAATCGATCCAATTCAGTCCGTGAAGGGAAAAGTCGTCATTGACGCATTTAGATTAATCAATCCTAACATGATGGTGAGTTTTTATTTTATTTATTTTTCTCACAAACTTCCAATTTATTTAATTCTTCAACCTTCTTTTTTTCCAGGTCCTAGGACAAGAACCTCGACAAACGACCTCGAATTTAGGTCACTTGCAGAAACCTTCCGTTCAAGCTCTCATTCACGGTTTAAATCGTCACTACTACAGCATTAGTATTAATTACCGAAAAAATGAATTGGAACAAAAAATGTTGTTAAATCTCCACAAAAAGACATGGATGGACGGTCTTACACTCGCTGAATATTCAGAGCACAGTAAACTTAACGAAAATATTGTTTCCGATATGTTGGAACTCGCGAAAAATTACAATAAGGTTTGTAGAAGTTTCTTTTTTCTCAAATTGTGAATTTAAAAGTATTAAAACAAAATTTTCTAATTTTCTCTTCGAAAAGATTTTATATTGGCAAATTTTTTTCCAGGCTCTCGAGGACGAGGAGAAAATGACACCGGAACAATTGGCAATCAAAAATGTTGGTAAACAAGATCCAAAGCGGCATTTAGAAGAAAAAGTCGATACACTAATGTCGACGAATATCGTCCAATGTTTGGGAGCAATGCTTGACACCGTCGTTTTCAAGTAACTATTTTTTTTTCCATAAAAATGATTTACAATATACAATTTTTAAAGAATATACGACTTTCTAACATATGTCCGTTTTTCATTTTTCGAAAAAAAAGAAAATCCCCTATTGAAATTATTAAACTTTATTAATAGTTAACAAATTATTTTGCATGATTGGTATTAATTTTCTTTTATCTATAGTCAATTACATGATTTTTTTTTATTTAAATTTTTATTGAAAATAAATTCTTATTTTATTAAAAAAAAATCTAAATCATCAATCACTCGTAGACAATCTTACACGTTCGATTCTTGGAATACAATAGAAAAACAACTATTGTACTAAATATATAATATAAAAAAAGCATTTGACCATATTTACAAAAAAAAAAGATTAGAACATTTATTCACATTCTAAATATACTGTTCTATATAGTAGAAAAAAGCAATGGAAAACTTTTCTGGTACAAATATCAAACGTTTTGATCCTCAATGTATGCATTCAATATAATCAATAAAAATAGATGCAAAATCTATAAATTGCTTCGTAATTAATAAAAAGAAGAATTTTCATGGAGATGATGGTTCTTGATCTTTGCTTTTCTTCTTCTTTTTCTTCTTTTCCTTCACTGGCGTTGCCTGTAAAAAAAGTGAGATGATTTCTAAATTGAAAAATTATTTTTCAACGAAAGATTATTGAATAAAAAAATTGTTGGTTTTTAACAAAAGTTTTTTTTATGAAATTTGTTAGTTTTTTGTTTATTGAAATCTTTTTGAGTTCATACCTCTGTTTCTTCTTCAGTTTTTATTGTCACGTCGGCTTCGGTGTCCTCGTCGGATTTTTCCTTTTTCTTATCCTTCTTCTTCTTTTTTTCCTTCTTCTCCTTCTTTTTCTCTTTAGGTGATGCTGTTTCTGGATCAGAAGCTGGCTCACTCTTTACTGCAACTTCTGATTCCACTTTCGGGGCAGTTTCATCCCATTTTCTCTTTTTCGCCGTTGCTGCTTCTTCTACACGTTCAACGCCATTAGGTTCTGCTTCCTATTTCAAAAATAAAAGCCTTTAGTTAGAATTCCTTAAAGAAATGTTATTAAAATTAGATTGTTTTTTATTCAAACAATTATAAAATTCTAGTAATTAAATTCCCACGAAGAATTTTATTATTTATAAAAACAATTGAATTCTTGCCTTGCAAGGAATTTTATTAGAATTTTAAAAATAATTGAATTCTTTAGGAGAATTTTATTTTCTTTAAAAAATTTTATTTTAATTTTTTTCTAGTAATTTAATTTTTTCTAGCAAAATAAAAAAATGTTTTTTAATAGTGTAATTTTTCTTTGTAATTTTTACCTTAACTTGACTGTAATCCGTGTAACCAGAGAGCCAATTAGAAGGAGTGTTTTCATTTGGCTTTCCATGTTTATCCAATTTTCCTTCCAAGATCATTTTTTTCTTTTGAGCCGCTTTTGGTCCTAGGCCCCATTTCCTTGGGTATGCGTCTCTTTCCATAATGACTCGTTTTATTTTCGCAACCACGCCATGATCACATGCCGACATTGTTGGCGACGTCATTAGGGCAATAGCTTAACAATAAATTTTCCAATTAAAATCAATTTTAATTTTTTTTTGTCTCTATCTTATTAACAAACTTGGCGAATTATTATTCGCTAAGTTTTATTAATTAAATTTATTGTAATTTAAATATTCATTTGCTAAGCGAATTATCATTCGCTAAGTTTGGTTAGAATAGAAGAAAATAGAATAAAACAGAAGAGAAGAGAATAGAATAGCATTTCGTTAGATAATCGAATTGAAAGAATTCTGTAATTTAAAATTACATTTAACAAAATATTTTTCAATTCTTATGAATTGTAATCCTTTGCAAGATTTAAGGACTTTTCATTAAACGAAAATTCCAAATAGCAAAAGAATAAGTATTTACCCAATGCAACTGCTTCTCCCTTAGTTGTAACAATTACGATTTCCTGATTGAGTTCTATTCCTTGGTCGTACATTAATACTCCGGGTAGCATAATTTTTGCTCCATAACATATAGCATTTACCTGAATTTTAAGGTACATACCATCAGAAATAGTTTGGAGCTTATATTTTCATTTTTTTTTTCATTTTATAATACATATTTATTTTTAAAATAGAAAAGAAAAAATACTTACAGCACTGTCTTTGACGATAATTCGTTTATGATTAACGAGTAGAGCTTCAAGTGGTTTTATAACTCTTCGAAGATAAGATTCGTCACCATGATTTTCGTAAAGCCATTGTGCATCGAGAATATCGTGCATTGTCACCAGTGCATCTTCCTCACTTTGAATTCCTGAACGATTTCTTCTGAGTTCTTGCATTTGGCATCCAGTGCCCAAAAATAAACCCAAATGAACGCAAATTGTTCTCACGTAAGAACCAGCCTCACAACTAACTTTAAATATTCCCATATTTCGTTCTGGATCATAGTCAAGGAACCAATTGTCATAAACCGTTCTTACACGTAATTGACGCTTTACAGCGGAAATTAGTGGCGGTCTTTGGAAGAGAGCACCTTTTAATCTCTCTAAAGTTTGATTGATCTGAAAGAAAAATTTATTAGACTTTTTTTGCCAGGGGGACAAAAAATAAAAGAACAGGGTTGCCACAGGTCAGGAAAATCAGAGAAAATTTGAATTTCTACCTTTTGTACGTTATCAACCGGTGAATGAAGTTTAAATACGGCTATATATTCTTTTCCTGCTGATTGTTGGGATTTAGCGAGACGTGTAGCTCTGTCAATGCAAACAATGAGACACCCTGATACTTTTGGATCTAATGTACCAGAGTGTCCGGTTTTTTCGACCTTCAATATTCTTTTTATCCAAGCAACAACTTCGTGAGAAGATGGATTAGAGGGTTTGTCTAAATTTATGCATCCAGACTTTACATATTCCGATAGAGTGCGATGAAGTGGAGTCGATCCACAATTTAACGGAGTGAAGTGTTTAGTGCGACATAACATTTTGTCGAAATTCTGAAATTTAATTTTTAAACGTTTAGAAAGGAATTTTCCACACGAAATAAAATTTATTACCATTTGCTATTAATATATTTATATTTTTTTAATTATGTTAATTTTACTTTTGATTTTAATTAATATTAATTAATATTAATTAAACGTAGGATACTGATTAAATTGTGAAATAAATTATTAACATTGTAATGTAGAATAATTTCAATCGAAAGGTATTCTCCAGAGACAAACCTTAAACAATAGAGGCCAATCTTTACAATCGAGTTTTGGAATTTCACCCGAAGGTTCCATTTCGCATTTTATTTTCATTTGCGTTTCGCCCAACGATTTCTTTCTGCTTTTCTTTTTCTCTTTTTCTGAAATACAAATTTTCAAATATACATAAAATACAAGCCGCATTATAACCTAAAAGCTAACCTACAAAATTTAATCGAGGGGCAAAATTCTAATTTCTATTTGAGATTTAGGAATAATTGAAATTAACAATAGAAGAAAAGAGATTTAAAATATTGTTAGGAGTTAATTTGTTTCGTAAAATATTGTATTTATTTGAAAAAAAATATTCTACCGGGAAAGGAAGAAAGTGGAACAAAGCACGTGTTTATCATGATGCATTATTTGATCGGAAAATGAGAGAAAAAGAAGAAAAGTTCTTAATTGATGGAAAGAAAAATATGCTGACAATGCGAATGAGTAAGTTTTCATTTATATTTTATTTATTTACCTATTTCCGCCATCGTGAAGGATAAAAAATATCAAAAATACAACACGTGTACTATTCCAAAAAACTTCACACTAATACAAACTGCGAAACTTGTTAACACTTAAAGTTCCGTTCATAATTTGATTTCTAATTTCTTAAAGCACAGTTCATATTTATTAGTTTGCCTAAAGGTTAGTTCCATCGTTGCGTTCCATTGAATATTTGAATCGGAAATTCCTATTGGCTAAACGCTTTTCGTTTTCTGAATTCACGACGACTTGGGAATGCACCTTTAGACAGGGTTGGGAACTGAATTTTGGAAGTTCGACCGGAAGTGAGCATATTTGCTATTTGGCGTCACAATGCCGGAAGATACATTTTTTAAAGTTTGCTGAAACCGTTGGAACCGTTGGAACTTGCTGTTGCTGTGCAATTAGTGTAATTTCATCGGGTTTTTGCTGAAGAAAAAGTCGAAAAAATATAATAAGAATATTACATTTTTGTATTAAGAAGAAGGTAAATTTATTTTCGTTATTTATGTTTTATTTAATGACCAATAAAAGTGAGAAATCTTCAATTTTTCTCTATGCTAAAATTCTCTTTGCATCGTTTGCGTGTTGCAGATTTTAGTTTTTGTTGTTTGTGAATTGAAATCAAAATTTAATTGTTTAGAACAAATTTGTTATTTACATTTTCCCTAATTTTATTTACACGACTTAGTCGTACATAATTTCCATAATTCGTAAAGAATATTCAATGATAAATAAAATTAAGAAAAATAAATTTATCAAATTTATGATTCTAAACCTAACCTCTAAAAACTTCAATTTTGATTTTATCGATTTTATTTTTTATACAAAAAATTTATCAAAGAAATTCAATTATTTTAAAAACCTTTGCCTATATTTTCAATACATTTTTAATTAAATTTTTTCAAAGAATTAAATTATTTTCAAAAATTTTAATGAAATTCTTTGTAACAATTCAATTTCCTTCAAAATAATTTGAATAAATTTTGATAAAATTCAATTATTTTCAATGTCTACTATTTCAATAAAATTTCACAATAGAATTCAATTATTTAAAAAGAAATTTTAATAAAATTCGTCTCAAGGTTTCAATTATTTTCATAAATAATAAAATTCTTCGCAGAAATTCAATTATGTTCCAAAAATTTCAATTATCTTTATAAATAATACAATTTTTCTTCGAAATTCAATTATTTTCAAAAATTCTAATAAAATCGTTAGCAAGAATTCAATTATTTTCATAAAAAATAAAATTCTTCTCAGGAATTCAATTATTTTTGAAAATTTTAATAAAATTCATCTCAGGATTTCAATTATTTTTTATACAATTTTACTGGAATTACTCAAAAAATGTAATTATTATTAAAAATTTAATTTCAATTCCTCGAAAAAATCAATTATTTACAAAAATATTAGAAATTTTCACAGGAATTTAATTATTTTTAAATAATTAAATAACAATATATTCATCACAAGAATTCAATTATTTTTAAAAGTAATAAATTTTTTCTTGGAAATTCAATTATGTTTAAAAATTTACAAAAATTCTCCTTAAAATTTCAATTATCTTTATAAATAATAAAATTTTTCTCCAAGATTCAATTATTTTCAAAACTTAAAAACTAAAATTTTCAAATCTAAATAAAAAAATTTTTAATAGAATTCTTGGCAGAATTTCAATTATTTTTAATATAATTTTCATCAAATTTCTCTAAAAATGCAATTATTCATAAATTGTTGATTAAATTCTTTATAAAAATTCAGTTTTAAGAAACATTAAATTATTTAATGAAATATTTATTTTTGTATTTAAATAATTAAATTCTTGTACCCTAAAATTTTCTAATAAATATTGATTTAAAATTTAATTTCAGTTAAAATTTTGCAGAATTAATTTTTTTTTTTAATTATATTTTCAAGTTTCTAATTTCTAATATATTTAATTGAAGAATGTGAGAATAATCGAAATTTTGTAAAATTAAATTGTAAAAAAATTAGATTCTAAAAAATTTAATTTTGATTTCATTTCACAAAAAGTTGATTTAATTATTAATTTTCCGTATAAATAAAATTAAGAAAAATAAATTTATTCTAAAACTAATCTCTAAAAAATTCGATTTTTATTTTATTTCACACAAAAAGTTGATTTAATTATTAATTTTCTTTTTTTTATTATTATAGTTGAGAAGAAAACGAAAATGTCGCTAGAAAATGCTGCTGAGGAAGATCCGGAATTTCAAAGACCGTTAATTTCCGGTAAGGAAGCTTATGCTGATTTTCATTGCATAACTGAAGTGCAAACTGAAAAGTTATCGTATATGTGGACAATAAAAAATTACAATAAATTATGCACAAAAGAAATTGATGAATTATTTAGTGAAGAGTTCTCTGCGGAAAGTACACCTGAAATAAAGTGGATATTAAATTTGAAACTAGGTTCATCAACACAATCGAACCTTCATCTGGAACTTCATCATACCTCAGAATATCTTCGAACGTATGCAGTTTTTTTAAAGGCAAAAATTTCAATTCTTGGTGCTGATTTAGATAAAAGATATTCAACAATTTCATTTCAAGGTTATTCAAAAGACGGAATGGAATGGAAGAATGAGGAATTTATCGAAAAATCAATTCTAATGGAAAAAGCGGATGAATTGCTTTCGAAAAATTCTCTAGTTATTTATTGTGAAATTTTACAATTGGGTTATGTAAATATTCAAAAAGAGAGCATTCCAATTTATGATGATTCAAAATTATTGGATGATTATTCGAAACTTTTTGAAAATTCTTTATTTGCCGATGCGACAATTAATGTGAAGGGGCATAGTTTTAGAGTTCACAAGGCAATTATTACAGTGAGATGTTCATTTTTCGCTGCCATGTTTAATCCAGAGTCAAGAATGAAGGAGCAAGTGGAGGGAATTGCGGAAATTAATGATATTTCAGTTGATGTATTTCGTGAAATTCTTCGTTTTATTTACACTGGAAAAGTTGAAAATATTAAAGAGAACGTTGCCGATTTGCTGATAGCTGCCGAAAAATACGATTTGAATGTATTGAAAGCAATATGTGAAAGAGAAATGTATGAAATTTTGAGCGAGGAAAATGCAATGGAATTCCTCATTATTGTCGACAGACTAAATATTTCTTTATTAAAGAAGAGAATTTTGAGATTCATTAAACAAAATATAACAGTTATCATTGCGCAGGATAATTGGACTGATATTTTGAGCAAACATGTGGATCTTTTAACGGAAATTTTACAAATGCAAATTGAAAATTAGCATTTTTTCTCCTATTTTTTTTTGCATTGAGACGAATTTGTCAAAAGGGATATTTTTGGATGTTTTAAACATTCTAAACCTAAAGACAGATCAAAAGTTTAAATTTATACGTTCTTAAAAGTGTATAAAAAGAAATTTAGACTTTTCACTTTTTTTTTAATTGTTAAAAGTTATAAACATTAAAATATTCGAAGGATTGATATAAAAACAACAAAGTGTTTTAAAAAGTATTTTTTCACATTTTTTTGTTCTTTTAATTTTACACAATAGAAAAAAATTGAAATTGAGAATATTTATATTTAAAAATAATTATTATAAAGATTTACTAGAATACAAATAAATATATTTTGTATTGAATTTTTGTTTCTATTTTGATTCAATTCGAAAATTTCCATTCTTGACTCTCTGATTGTTTACTTTTTCAAAATAGAATTCAAATTTTACCGAAGGCTGAAAAATTAATTATTAAATTGAAGAATTATTAAATTACAAAATTTTTAAATTTATAAAATAATTATAAAGTTTTGTAATTATAATAATTAACTCAAATTGAAAATATTTAGAAATAATTCTTTAAAAAATTAATTTTTTACTTTCGCTTCAACATTTCCGGTCTCATTTACAAAATTGATGCAAATATTCCACAATATATTTTATATTTGGAAATCAGTAAATCCCTAATTTTTTTTCTATAAATATTACTTTGACGTCACTGTTTCCGTTCACTTGGAATTTAATTTCAATCAACATTTTGAACAAACATTTCTTCTCATATTTTTTAATTTCTAAAATTAAAATTCAGTAATTTTTAAATTTTATTTAATTTTTTACAAATTTGAAATAATAACAGGCTTTACACTCATCTACTGTTTTAAATCAGTTAATAATTGAAATAAAAAATTATCTTCGAAAATTTTTTAAATTTCTCTGAAACAATTCAACTCTTTTCAAAAATTTTAAGGAAATTTTTTGTAAAAATTCAATTATTTTCATAAATAATAAAATTTTTACAGGAATTCAATTATTTAAAATACAATTTTTATTGAATTTTTTTGAAAAAAAATTATTTAAAAGAATTTTTATAAAATTCTTCTCGGGAATTCAATTATTTTCATATAAATAATAAAATACTTTAGATAAATTCAATTACTTTGAATATAATTTTAATAATCTTCTTCGCAGAAATTTAATTATTTTCATATAGATAATAAGATTTTTACAGGAAAAAAAATTTGAACTTTGGATCATTACCAAAAATTATTATTTTGCAAATTTCTGGAAATATGCCCAAGTAATACAAGTCTTTCGTAATAAGCGTGAAAATTATCCTAATTTATATGTAATAATTTATTTTATTATTCGTTGTTTGCAAATATTTCATAATATTCAAAACTGTCTTTTGCTTTTCTCAATTAAGTTTGCATTATTTGTCTCTTTACAAGAAATTTTGAAATTTTATTATATTATTTTCATAAAATTTTGAATTTGTTTGAAAATTTACAAATTTACATTTATTTAAAAATTTAATTTTCTTTTGAAATATTTTATTCACTTTTCCTTTTTTCATCACACATGTTTCGCATTTTTAGTTTTTTGTTTACGATTGTAAATTAGTTTCTTTAATATTTTGAGAGTCAAGGAAATTTGAAAACAAAACAAGACCTTGTCCTATTTCTTCAATAACAAAAAAAAAAACAGTGTAAAAAATACATCACATTTTTTCGCTTTAGAAAATTAGAAAATTTTCTTTTGTTAATAATTTTCATTGTTGTACTTTTTATTAATTTTCTTAAGTACTTTTTTTAATTCAGTTATTTAGTGAATAAATTTTTATTGGTATTGGTAAGTAATTTCGATCTAAAATTCAAATTAACAATTTCGAAATAAAAGAATTTTATTTTTCAGATTGGAATTATTTCTTTTGCTGGGGAAAATCGAATTTGTTTTTGACGAGTTGTTCGGTGGTTGAAAATCATTTTCCAATGAGTGGTTGTGACACAAATTTTAAAGTCACATAAATTTCTTGTTGCAATGCAACGAGTTGCCAAGGTTGAGTTCAAGAAACTGGATTTTTCTACAACATCGAGATTTAATAAAAAGAAAAATAAAATTCCGAGAGAGAAATATTATGGTTCTAAAAAAAGAGACACATATTTTCGGAAGATTCGAATAAATTTTGTTGCGAGAGATCTATGAGATTAACTTTTTCCTCAGGGGAAGAAACAATCAGAAGGTAATTTAGCCTACAGTTTAATTTTTATAATCTGAATTTTTTCTATATTTAATTTCTGAATTAAAAAATAATACAATTGTAAAAAATATAACTATTATTTCTTTAATATAGGAACAGGAGGTTTTGTAAAAATTTACTAAACTATAAATTAATTTTATATGTAATTATAACATTTATAATTTTTGAAAAATTGGTTTTCTTTTCTAAAATATTGAAGTTTAGAAAAAAAAACAATCTTTTACATTCCTTTACTGTTTGGAAATTGAATTGTTTTAGGGAGTGATTTGTGTGCCTCGCTGGAGAACGTGAAACATCTTCGATTATTCTGAGAGTGCGTGGGCAAAAAGTTGATGAGGAAAGAGAGAAAACAAAAAAAAAAAAGCTCTGGATATCAAAAAAGCTCAAAAACGAGGGAGACAAGGAGAAAGGACACGACAAGGAAGGAAGAGAGAGGTAAAATCACTTGCAACCTTAACACGATTCTATTTCTTTCGATGCATCAACGTTTGTATATCACACGTCTCTGACGCAATTTTAACGTCGCGTTATACATGGTGGGAGGCGTCGCGACGCTTAAGCGATCCCAGGATCCAAATCTTCAAAAAACTCAGAATCGTACGAACTTCCATCGCGGCCGCATTAAAATTTTAATTTTCAAAAAAAAAAAAAGAAGCATAAAGGCCCAACTAACAAAAGTTAACAAACGAAATTAAAATACGAATTAATTAGAAAAACCTTTTTTTTTTAATCAAATTTCTTAAGTGAAACGAAAATGGTTTACGAGAGCGATTTCTACACGACCCGACGACCCTACACGCGACCAATCGTGTCTTCTTACAGCGTCACGGTCAGTAAATTCATCATTAACATTTTGCAAGAATTTTGTGTTTAACACAAAAGCTGATTTGCGTCTTTGAAGAGAAAATTTGTGAAAAATTTTTATCAGCACACAAAGTGAATGAAGAAATAAATTTGCACCGTGAACTGTGAGAACATGAAAAATTGAGTATTTTTCCTCGCCAAAAAAAATGTTATTTTCGAAAAATAAATTCTTTGCGATAAAAAAAATTGAAGAAAAGAGAAATTTTAACAGTTTCTCGTAATTTCAGTGTTGAATTCAAGTTTGTTTACAGATATTTTTATAGTTCGTTTCTAATTACGTAACAACTTTAATTTTTTTCTTCATATTTTTTTATTTAAAATTTCTTTCATTACGTCAATTTTTGATGAAGTCAAATTTTTTCCTGTTTAAATTTTTAATTTATCTTCTTGATTTTTTTATTTTCTTTCTAATTTTTTTTACCTTTTTTTGCAATTTTGTTTCGATTTCTAATTGAATTTTTTTTTTCGATTTTCTTCAATGAAACAAATTCTCTTCTGGAGATGCTAATCAGTTTTTGTAATTTTAACATTTTGAGCTTGTATTAACGTGCGATCAAAAGGGTCAAAAATTCGAGTGACGATTCCCCCTTGACAAAATTCAAATTTTTTGATTAAAAATTAATTCTTTCTTGAAAGCCGAAAACTCTTGGACCTTTTTTTCTGAATTATATTTCGTCCAAGTTAGTATAAAGATAATTATAATAAAATTCGAATTGAAATTATGGTTAAAATCAGAATTGAGATTATGATTAAAATTAGAATTGAAACTGTAATTAAAATTAGAATTGAAATTGAAATTAAAGTTAGAATTGAAATTATAATTAAAATTGGAACTGAAATTATAATTTAAATTAGAATTCAAGTTATAATTAAAATTAGAATTAAAATCATAATAAAAATTGGAATTGAGATTATAATTAAAGAATTGAAGTTATAATTAAAATTAGAATTAAAATTAGAAAATCGTCAAAAATTTGTGGAGAATCTCTCTCAAGAAACGTTTTGACTCAATAAATTTTAAAGTGATTGCCACGTCTCTCTGTTGATCGCTATAGTCTCGAATTCGATCATCTACGAAAAATCGATCTCCGCAAAAATTGAAATAATTTTTTATTCCTATAAAAATATTTTACGGAAGATCGATCTTTTGCTATTCGAATTCAAAAAAGCGTCTCGAAGTCTCAACTTCCACACTATACTCTTACCATCAACATCAATACTACTTTTTATAACAACTACTACCAATTGAACAGAAAAAAAATCTTTCAAAATTAATATTTATTTTTCCTTTTTTTTCAAAATTTGCCAATTCTTATTTTTATCCTCAAATAAAATTTGACACAAAAATAGGATTTTTTTGGGAAATTTTTCCTTTTTTCAAAGCATTGTCGATTGGAAATGAACATTTTCTCTTTCAAATTATCATTAGGGGGAAATTTTGTTGGGAGTTTTAATTAATTGAAATTTCTTTTAATTGTAATTTTATATTTAATGAGAATCGTTTTAATTTTCAATTAAGGAAAATTCCACTCTTGTGTTTTTAAATAAAATTGAAAATTTTAAATATTAATGTTTATCTTTTTTAAAAACCGAAAAGGACATTTTTTATTTTCTATTTTATTGATTGCTGGCAATTTTGATTAATTGGAATTTATAATTTTAAATTAGAATCATTTTAATTTTCAATTAAACAAAATTTCACTCTTGTATTTTCAAATAAAATTGTTTAAAAATAATCTTTATCTTTTCTAAAAACCGAAAAGAACAAATTTCGATGAAAATTTTGATAATTTAAAATTTATTAATTTAAATTAGAATCGTTTTAATTTTCAATCAATCAAAATTTTTCTTGTGTCTTTAAATTGAAATTGAAAATTTTAAAATTATATTTCTCTTTTTGAAAACCGAAAAGAAGAAATGTTTATTATTTTAAATTAGAATCGTTTTAATTTTCAATTAAGCGAAATTCCACTATTAAATTGAAATTTTTTAAATTATCTTTATTTTTTGTTACAAAGAGAGATGGTATAAAAAGAGACAATGTTTAAATTAAAATGAGAAGAATTTAAATTTAATTAAAATTCAAAAATTAATTTACGAAAGGATTTTAAAAACTAAAAGCCTTTTTTTGTTTAAAAATTTGAAAGATTTTTTTTCATTCTGCTGCTACTACTAGTTACTACTAAATAATTATCCCGAACTCAAAACGTGCACTCGGTGTCTCACAGAGTTGGGCTTTGCGAATTAGGAAAAAAATGGGGGGAGGGGGTTAATAATAATAAACGTTCATTTTTAGAATGAAAAATCAAAATAATGATCCATCATCGAATCGTGTTTATAATATTGTGATAACAATCCCTTTTGTTTTAAATCCATAATAATTCTTTCAAACAAATATTGACTCATTTTGAAATTTGTAGAAATTCGAATTTTTTTGCTTTAGACACTCAAATACTTCATTATTTTCGTCTGTTTCATAGACACTTTCGTAATTTGTATTCTTTTGATTTTCATAATCTTGGTTTATTTTCGTTCTTTTTTTTCGTTTGCTTGGAATTTTTCATCTGTATAATTTTTCATCAAACTACTTCTTGTTAATTTTTTACATTCTCATCAAAGAGAAAGAATTTTTTTTCGCTTTAATTTAATAAAGAGAAGTGGATTTTTTTTGGAAAAAATGGGTACAATCATTGAATCAAATTTAGTTGTTCGAAAATAGATTTTTTTTTGATAAATAAAGAGCATCGAGAAGAGAATGATGATTCAGAATTTGCATTCCGGAAGGTGTGGGCGTTGATTTTTATGAGACGTCACTTTATAATTGTTTCCGAGTTGTTTCGCGCATTGGTGATTATTAATAAATATAATTTATTTTTGACGCTCTTGCGCAACGATTTAAAATCATTATTATCGAATGGCTGAATAGAATTTGAATTTAAAATTTAATTTCCATTGGATTCATTTTTTGAAAGTTAACTTAATAAATTTTTTGATTAATTAAATTGAAATTAATAATTAATCAAATTTAAATTAATAACTAATTAAATTAATATTGATTATTAATTAAATTGTTTATTATTAATTAAAAATAAAATTGTAAATAAATTAATCGGATATACAATTTAATTGAAACTCGATTATTTTAATTATATTTAATGCTAATTTTCCATTAAATACAATTATTAATAATTCAAAGAAAAATCTAAAATATTTCAATATTGAAAATAAATTTCGAAGAAAGTTTGAAAAAAAACTTGAGTCTTTAAATTGTTTCGTTAAATTGTTTCCGATATGTGAGAAAATATTTTGTGTCTAATTTTCGAGAATAAAATTAATTTTTTCTATATTTTTTTTTTTTTGTTTTTTAAATGAAGTAGAGTCAGAGCAAAGACTATTCATAGCAGAGGAGCCATTTTCCGGGACTGAGAAAGTGTTAAACTTAGACGTTGTACGACCCGGTAAAATCTTGAATTAACGGAATAAGAAAATTAATTATTATAATTTTTCCACGATTCAACCTCGAGTCAGTGGCAAATCGACTGAGAATGAATTTTGAGCCATATCGTTAAATAACATTGGTCAGTGCCAAATTATTTTCAATGTTACTATAATTATATCTGGAATAATTTCTGCAATGTAAACAAACAAGAGTTTTGTTTACTGAACACCGTTGGTTGCGAATTGATTTTAATATTTAATAATTTTCATCATAATAAAATTAATTTATATACTTGAAGTTTTATTATATTTATCTAACGCGCCAAGCATTTATTTTTTAATTAAAAAAAAGGAATTTATTTATTATTCAACATTTATTTTTATAATTTTCTTCATTTAAAAAATTTAAAACTTAAAAAGTAATTACAAAGAAATTAAATTATTGAAAAATGAGAATGTAAAAAAATTAAATCATTGACATTGTTTTTTATTGAAATTTTTTCTTCAATAATTATTTAGCTAATTATTAAAATTAAAGCTAATTAAAGCTAATTATTATGTATTTCGTTCTTACGATAAATTAGATTCTCTCCACAAATATAAATCAAATTATCAAATTTTAATAAAATTCTTTAAGAATTCAATTATTTTCTCAAATAATAACATTCTTTGGAAGATTTCAATTATTTTCATCATAAATAATAAAATTCTTCCCACGAATTCAATTATTTTCAATTCAATTTTAATAAAATTTTTCGAAAGAATTGAATTATTTTCAAAAATTTTGACAAAATTCGTTATCGAAATTCAATTATTTTTAATACAATTTTAATTAAATTAAATTAAATTTTTTGAAGGAAAAAATTTAATTTTTTTTAAAGGTTTAAATGAAATTCTTCGTAAAAATTTTAAAATTTTTAAATAAAATTCATTATGAGTTTTCAATTATTTTCATAAATAATAAAATTCTTGGCATAAATTTAATTATTTTCAAAAATAATAAAATTCTTCGCACGAATTCAATTATTATTAATACAATTTTCATAAAATTTGTTTAAAGAATTTAATTACTTTTATAAATAATAAAATTCTATGCAGAAATTAAATTATTTTAGATACGAAATTTTAAAAGTGAAAAAAATAAGGATAACATTTTTTTGCTACAATAATTTAAAAAAGTATTTTTAAATTTTAGAATTTAAAATTAAATTTACAAATTAAATTATGATTTTTAATTCAAAACAATTTTGTTTTATTAATTTTTGTAATTTTCTAATTTTTTAAAGCATTAAATGTAAATTAATTAAATTCTTTTCATTAATTTTTTTAAATTCAAAATATTTACAGAGAAAAATTATCAAAAAATAATTAGGTGACAAAGAAGCAAACAAAAATCAACTATAAATTCAAAATGCGAAGAAATTACCGGAATACAACGATTATTAATAATAGATCATTAATTTAATTACTTTGTTAATTAAAAATTAAATGAAAATTACAAATTAATATTAATAATATTAATAATAT